GAGCGGCAACCGGCCCGGCCTGGCCGAGCGGCCCTCATTAAAAAATTGGCTCTGAAAAAGGGGGTCTTTGTAGCGGCACATACCCGTGTCACCAATATATGCGAGTACATTGGGATTTATCAATCGAATCATGTATTTTGGAGGTGGAAAACTTTCAATTGACGTCAAAGAATTTGAAATTAGGTATTACATAAAGGTAATAATTGAGTTCAAACCCATATAAATTATCATTTGTTCATTTTGGGGGATTTTGTATCATATAGTAATGGGTGACATTCATGGATTTTGAATGCCAATATGCCAGGCGCGGTAAAAAAAAAAATTGTTGCCAATTTGAATGAAATGTAAAAATCCATGTCAAAATTATTAATTGTCACTGTGTGTCAAAATAGAATTATAGTCAAAGTGGATGATTGATATGATCAGTCTTGCTTCGATATTTAATATAATATCTTGTGCATCTTTCTGGTCTTAGCGGTAATTTTGACATTGGAATCATTGCAAGGTCAAACTTTTTTGTTTTGCATTGTTGTGGGTCAACCTAGATACACGCACCCGCTATTGCTTGCACCTACATGTACAAAGCATGAAGCTTAATTCCTATTCACTGTCGAAGCCTATGTAACGACCCCGGTCCCGGCTTGTACATTTCGATAGCAACCGCTCAAACAAATGCTTAACGCAGGGCAATCAAGTGCTGTTGGATTATATGCGAATGTGTACTGTGCGCGTGCGTGGCCACGCACTGCGCATTCCAACTTCGACAGCGAATATAGAACCATATGTCAAAAAATGCTGATTACAACGATTTACCCTAGACCTCTATAACAAAACAAATTTCTGTTTATTTGTGTTGTTGGCATAGGGTTCTGCGTTGAACTGCTCGCGAAACACCCAACGATGAACATGCAGTATCTGCAGAAACTTTGCATGCTTTTTGGGTTGTCAAAATAATTTTCCTGATTTTTTCATTGGATTGTAGACCATGCAAGACTGGATCTATGACAATTCCATTGAGAAACAAAAATAAGACAGGGAAATTAAGTTCTAGAGGAAGCTTTGTAGGTGCACCGCTATCGCAAGAGATAGCGGGTGCGTGTATCTACATTGTAGGGTCAAACAGTCTTTTTTAACACAATTTTTCTGACACAATATGAAAAATATGTACATGTTTTTATTTTCCTGCAGCAACTACTTGCCCAAGAAGACGAGCGATGTGAGGAGTCGCGGTTGCAGGGCTAGGGCTTTTTTTTTCAAGCATCAAGATCAAGGAAAGAGTCACTGGTAAGTTTCACTGGGTATTCAAAATTTTGTATCCAAGACCAATTCGAGAGATCGACAAGAGCTGTAAGATATTCTCCGATAGCGGCGCTATATTACTTTGGTTGTGCTGCCTACTTCCAGGACAGGCACGAGTGAATAGCTTTCCTATTGAAATCAGCCAAAATCATGATGCGTCATTATAACGAACGGTTCTAAAACGCTATCGAAAAGTGATTTAAACATTGATTTAAATCAGTTTAAATAAGTGTTTTTGTGAGTATGGGGTTCCGTTGCGGATGAAATGATCAAATTAGCCGGCAAAAATTGAATTCTGTAGGATTTCGGCGTAAAAGACCGGAAGTAGGTAGCACAACCTGAAGCTGGACCCGCTGAGCCAACAGCGCACGTCAACCAATCAGAAACAAGCATTTAATTTATTTAATTTAACGCCCTCTAGCGGCCAAATAGTTATTGTCAATCCCCCAATTTCATCATTCCCAATTAGGCCACTTGTGGTGATGGTGACATACACTAAAATAGATAATGGACCTCTTTTTGGAACTTGATACTTCCCTTACTGGAATGTAATCCCTTCTTCCATAGCGGTGTAACCCTACTAAATTTGATGAATACCATCTGTAGTCTTTCCTATTAAATGCTGTTATAATTCTTGGTTTATATAGGCCTTGTCTTCATTTTCTATTTTTCTCTAACCCTTTTAGACATGCTGACCAGAAGAAGACATTGTGGTGTTGGAAAACCCAACCCCCTTGAGGTAGCAGCACAATACACAGAGAAAGAAAAGGACCCTCCTCACTTCATTGTCAAGCTGTTTGAGAACAAAGGTAAGCAACATCATTTTTTAATTCATAATTAAGTTTCATGGGGCTGCTACAAGTTTAGGTCGTATACTGTCCAACAATATTTGATTGATGTCACAGCAGAAACATAACTTAACAACATAATTTGCATATTTTGCACATTCATTTCAACTCAAGTTCTTTTGTTTTATGCCTCCGACATGAAGTGGTGCCGGAGGCATTCTGTTTTTAGGTTATCCTTCTGTCCGTCCATATTTCTTCTTACCACGATAACATAAAGGGATGTACATGTACACTGTATACCTGGTGTTCTAGAAGGCGCTGTTCGATGGCATGTTGTGCGCCGCCAATTTTATCCCGAAGATTGACCAGGCATATTTACATACATCATTTTTTTACTGTTTGGAACATGGCATTGTGTAAACACCGGTATGATCGAATAACATATATTGGTGTCAATGGCAACTCACACCGTCTGTCCGAGTACACATTGTCAAGATATTCTGACAAAATTAATTGTACTGATCAAATTGGCACTGTGATTTTTGGAAACATATAAATTCCTGCCATTTCCATCTCAACATAAAAGAAATAGAATAGTGAATCTGGCATAAGAAAATCAGACACACTTCTTGGATACTTTTTGTAATCCTTACTTCCTCAAACTCTACAATGTACAGAACCTGCAAACCCAACTCTTGGAGGGTGTCCAAAATGAAAACAGTGAGAAACAAAACAAATTGAGTTGAGCTGGACATCCTTATTTACTACATATAGAGTATATAGGGACAATGTCTAGATGTGCGCCTGAAAGTAAATTGCACGAAATAAATTGCAAATCAATATTTTATTGAAGTTGACTTTCAGCTGTGACGTCAACAATCAACTATCGTTGTTTAGAGGTACCATAATGTTGGTGTAATGATGTCTTACTGTAATTTTTCTTACAGGAAGAGGGATAGTGGCACAAAGAGACATCTCAAAAGGGGAGTTTTTGTTGGAGTACCCAGGCCAACTTATATCTGCCCAAGAAGGCAACCAACGTGAGGAGGAGGAATCATCTGGTTTTCGTTTTTTTTTTAAGCATCAAGGACAAAGCTACTGGTAAGTTTGCACGTTTTATTCCTATTAGGAGATTATGAAACGGGCACTGTCCATCCGTATGTGTACTACCTATTACTTTTGGATGGTTCGTCCTATCATTACCAAATTTGAATGGTAGATGCATTAGCTAGGGAGGCCTATACATTTTAGTGTGGTCAAAGGTCACTCAGACTTTGTGTACAAAATGTTAAATTTGTACATAAGATGTTAAATCTACATATTACTTTTGGATGGTTCATCCCATCCTCACTAAAGCTGGATTTGGGGGTCATGCGGTCAAAGGTCATAGGGCAATAAATAGCTTGTGGTCGTGTTATCTCAAGAACCGATTGACGGATTCTCACCAAACTTGGCCCATGTATGTACCTTAAGGGGCCAATGATGAACTAATTCGATTTTTGGGTTATGAGGTCAAAGGTCACAGGGCTCATTATATATGCAATAAGAGCTTGTGATCACGTTAATGGGCTTAATATGTAAATCGCGCAATAGTGGAGGCATCATTTTCGACTGCGCGCAGTCGAACATCCATCTAGTTGAATGACATACAATATTGTACACTTTTCTTTGGAATACAGTCTTGATGCAACTGATGAGTGTGCTTTTGGGGATAGACTCGGCCGCCTCGTGAATCATGGACAAGGGAGGGAGGAGAACGCCCGAATGAAGATACTAGATATGAAGTCACATCCACACATGTGGATAATTGCTACAAAGAACATATCTAAAGGGACCGAAGTTCTGTACAATTATGGAGTTCGAGAACTGCCGTGGAAGAAAAAGGTAAAATTAATTTTGATAAATTTAGAGTATGATGGAAATTACAAGATTATTATCAGATGTGATAAAAGTCAAATTTTACCTTTTCATGTTTTTGCTTGTAACCCATGATAGACAAAGCAATACAAGTCATGTATGTGAGATTCAATTCTTTACCTCTGTACATTACCCATAATACTAAAAATTGCCCCATGTGATATAGCTAAACTGATTACATTTTGGACAAGTTTCTACTCATTATTTGGCTTTATTAATCTAATTTCTAATTATTTTTCCCCTCAGCATTTCAGAGGACAAGTTCAAAGGGAAGAAGAAGGAGAGACACAAGTCCACCAACAGGAAAGAGGGACTCTAGGACAACAACAAGGAGAGATGCAGGTTCACCAGCAAGAAGGACAGACACAAGGACATGAACAAGAAAGAGGGACTCTAGGGCACCAACAAGGAGAAGACATACATGTCCACCAACAAGGAGAGACACAGGTCCACCAACAAGGAGAGACAGAGGACCACCAAAAAGAACGAGGAACACAAATCCACCAACAAGGAGGAGATACACATGTCCACCAACAAGAAGGAGAGACAGAGGGCCACCTACATGAAAGAGAGACTCTAGGACACCAACAAGAAGGAGAGATGGAGGTCCACCAACAAGAAGGAGAGACAGAGGGCCACCTACATGAAAGAGAGACTCTAGGACACCAACAAGAAGGAGAGATGGAGGTCCACCAACAAGAAGGAGAGACAGAGGGCCACCTACATGAAAGAGAGACTCTAGGACACCAACAAGGAGGAGAGATGGAGGTCCACCAACAAGAAGGAGAGACAGAGGGCCACCTACATGAAAGAGAGACTCTAGGACACCAACAAGGAGGAGAGATGGAGGTCCACCAACAAGAAGGAGAGACAGAGGGCCACCTACATGAAAGAGAGACTCTAGGACACCAACAAGAAGGAGAGATGGAGGTCCACCAACAAGAAGGAGAGACAGAGGGTCACCTACATGAAAGAGAGACTCTAGGACACCAACAAGAAGGAGAGATGGAGGTCCACCAACAAGAAGGAGAGACAGAGGGCCACCTACATCCCAGATAACAATACGGCGTTGGGCCAACGTCGGCCATGGTCGGCAGGGTCGCAGTCGGCAAGCCAACGTTGGCTAATTGTTGGGCCATCGTCGCCATTTTTTACTGATAAATGGTGGCTATTGGTTGGCTCATTCGACGTTGGGCCAATGTTGGCTGAACGTTGGTCCATTGTCGCCATTTTCACTGATAAATGGTGGATATTGGTTGGCTATTCGACGTTGGGCCAATGTTGGCTGAACGTTGGTCCATTGTCGCCATTTTCACTGATAAATGGTGGCTATTGGTTGGCTATTCGACGTTGGTCCAATGTTGGCTGAACGTTGGTCCATTGTCGCCATTTTCACTGATAAATGGTGGCTATTGGTTGGCTATTCGACGTTGGGCCAATGTTGGCTTCAAGTTGGTACATTGTCACTATTTTTACTGATAAATGGTGGCTATTGGTTGGCTATTCGACGTTGGGCTAAAGTTGGCTCAACGTTGGTCCATTGTTGCCATTTTCACTGATAAATGGTGGCTATTGGTTGGCTATTCGACGTTGGGCCAATGTTGGCTGAACGTTGGTCCATTGTCGCCATTTTCATTGATAAATGGTGGCTTTTGGTTGGCTATTCGACGTTGGGCTATTGTTGGTTTAATGTTGGTCCATTGTCGCCATTTTCACTGATAAATGGTGGCTTTGGGTTGGCTATTCGACGTTGGGCCAATGTTGGCTAAATGTTGGTCCATCGTCTCAATTATCACTGATAAATATTGGCTATTGGTTGGCTATTCGACGTTGGGCTAACGTTGGCTCATTGTCGCCATTTTCACTGATAAATGTTGGCTTTTGGTTGGCTATTCGACGTTGGGCCAATGTTGGCTGAACGTTGGTCCATTGTCACCATTTTTACTGATAAATGGTGGCTTTTAGTTGGCTATTCGACGTTGGGCCAATGTTGGCTGAACGTTGGTCCATTGTCGCCATTTTCACTGATAAATGGTGGCTATTGGTTGGCTATTCGACGTTGGGCCAATGTTGGCTGAACGTTGGTCCATTGTCACCATTTCCACTGATAAATGGTGGCTATTGGTTGGCTATTTGACGTTGGTCAAATGTTGGCTGAACGTTGGTCCATTGTCGCCATTTTCACTGATAAATGATGGCTATTGGTTGGCTATTCGACGTTGGGCTAATGTTGGCTGAACGTTGGTCTATTGTCGCCATTTTCACTGATAAATAGTGGCTTTGGGTTGGCTATTCGACGTTGGGCCAATGTTGGCTAAATGTTGGTCCATCGTCTCAATTATCACTGATAAATGTTGGCTATTGGTTGGCTATTCGACGTTGGGCTAACGTTGGCTCATTGTCGCCATTTTCACTGATAAATGGTGGCTATTAGTTGGCTATTCGACGTTGGGCCAATGTTGGCTGAACGTTGGTCCATTGTCACTATTTTTACTGATAAATGGTGGCTATTGGTTGGCTATTCGACGTTGCGCTAAGGTTGGCTCAACGTTGGTCCATTGTTGCCATTTTCACTGATAAATGGTGGCTATTGGTTGGCTATTCGACGTTGGGCCAATGTTGGCTGAACGTTGGTCCATTGTCTCAAATATTACTGATAACTGTCGGCGCGTTTGGTTGGCTATTCGACGTTATAGGCCAATGGGCTGAAAGTTGGACCATCGTCTCAATTTTAACTTATAAATGTTGGCTATTGGTTGGCTATTCGGCGTTGGGCCAATGTTGGCTTCATGTTGGTCCATCGTCTCAATTTTTTTGTTTAAATGGTGGCTTTGGGTTGGCTATTCGACGTTGGGCTAACGTCGGCTGAACGTTGGTCCATCGTCTCAATTTTAAATTTTAAATGTTGGCTTTTGGCTGGCCATTCGATGTTGGGCCAATGTTGGCTGAACGTTGGTCCATCGTCTCAATTATTACTGATAAATTGTGGCTGTTAATTGGCTATTCGACGTTTGGCTATTAACGTTGGCTCAATGTTGGTACATCGTTTCAAATTTTACTGAGAATTGGTGGATATATGTTGGCTAATATACGCGACGTTGGGCCAACCCGGGGCCAACCTTCGCTTAACGTTGGTCTATATCGTCTCCATCTTTACTGATAAATAGTGCATGTATATATTGGTTGGCTATATGACGTTGGGCCAACGTAGCAAATACGACCTAGTACCGCTACATCCGGGTAAAAAAATTGCATGCGTGCGCATGCCCATGTGCTCATGCAATTGCAACGTACGTCAGCCATATCCTGTCCATTTGTCTGGATCAGTTGCCGGGGAGTACCAACACTGCATGGTAAATGAATGATTTTCTTTCTCTTTCAACGTTATTTTTGTGAGCATGTCGCGTGAAACTGATAAATTGTATAGTGTGAGAACTCCCCGTCACAAGGCGAGGGAAATAGCATGAGAAATTGTTAAAGTAATCATTGATAATTCCCTGTCCAAATAGAAGTGAAAGTGAGTACGAGCTAGTGTCTCGGCGTACGCTTAGCATGCACACCCGCTGCGTGCAATTGAAGTGTGAGTGATGGCTATGATGGCTATGATGGGGGCCCGAAGTGTCGGCATCAGATGCATTGAGTGTTTGCTTTGATAATGTTAATATGTTCCTGACTTAGAGTTAGACCTAGGTGATGTATTGATGCATCATGTTGCAGCGTCCGTGACAGTGATGATGTTCATCCCAATATGCAATATCGACCATGAATCAAATGATTGTGAATCTGTTGGTGTTACAAGTGTTGAAGGTGCTGATGCATTGTTGGAAAGACCAATTGAATCAAATAGAGCTGAATGGGAAGACGCATCATTTTTGTATGCATATCTAAATGATATTATAGTCTCTGATACTTTCAGATTTAGAAGTAGGTCTACACTATACTCTGTAGTAGCTCAATATATGCTGATGATGATTCAGTTCGAAAAGGAATAAATTACGAGATTGAGCTGTGAATTAAGATATCCCGCTAGTACATGTTTCTAGCCTCCTGAAATCTTACAAGGGTGCCAAGTCTGCCAAAATATGCAAGAACTTTGTATCAACACATTTAGTGGATTGTGAGTGTGATGTGAAAGAGGTAGCTGGTGGGAATTACCCTCATTTTAGCATTTGCAATCATTTAAAGTCGCAATTGGCCAAGAACCTCAATTTGATCAAATAGTAAATAGGAAAAACTATTGGGGGCGGGGGCAACACTGATCGATCCCCTAATTTTCATTCACAATTTTCATTCACAAATTTGATTATTTCTGCATTTTTATTCTCATTTTCAAATTAGTTTTTATTGTTTATGCACATGTATATTAAATTGCTATAATTTGAACTGAAGGTAAATATTCTAATTATTTATTTTTAAAATTCTGACGTTCTTTATTAATACATTCAATTCTATATAGCTCTTCCAAATCCCAATACTTTTTTCTCCCCATAATCCCTACAATTCTGAAATTTAAATATTAAATCCTGCATTTCATATCGTCAACTTCACAACAAATTCCAGATTCCTCTACCCGTTCAGATCCAGCTACCCCTACCTCGATCATCCAGAACAGCATCAACAGCACCAAGGACCCCTTCGACATCGACCCCATCAACCTCCAGAACACTGTCGACCCCAACGACCCCATTGACCTCAACATTCAGAAATATGGGTATGTCATTTGGCATTTTATTCATTTTGTATTTAGTTATACATGTAGACAGGATAGCACTTCTTAGTATTCGTTATAGTTGTGCCCTGCACACAAAGTACAAATGTACTGGATTAATGTACGTTTGTGTAGGACATAGCTGCTAACGGATGCTAGAATCTTTTTCCTGATTATATTGAGAAACTGCATTGTGATCACTTACAAAACTATTCAACAACAACAAATCATGAAATACTGCTTATAGCAGTATTTTTTGGGAAACAATTCTGAATGCAGGGTGCCACAAAAAACAAAACACAGTCAATTGATTTGTTTCTTGTATAAGCAACTAACGATATAGCTTTGTGTTTTGTTTCTACTTTGAAGCCCCTCGAGCTCTCTCAAGTATTGGGAGCTTACATAAATACAAAAAAAAGTATTGGGAGCTTCACATTTCACTTCAATGTTATAATGATGTGAAAGAAAATGCCACTCTTCTTCAAACATTTGTCCTAAAATTAGAAAGAATACAAACTTACTAACTAAGGGTTTTGTGTTGTATGCAGAAAACGCAAATTTTGTATTCTTTCATCCATATTCTACTTCAAACACATTTGTTAGGGCAATATTCTATTTGCAGAAGTGTCCAGGTGTTAATGACATCCTCTTTTACATCATACCATTTAAGTGAGATTGTGCCATCTATTCTTTGGCTAATTTTGGGATCCAACACTTAAGAGGGGCTTTAAACTGTTATCAATCAAGCATCTCAACACTGAGCAAACAGATACTATAAATTGGTTCTTTCTATTGAAGAATATTACTGCCATTTTACCTCAAATGTATATTTCCTTTGTTAAGAAGAGTGTTTGATGCTACTCTAATTAAACAAGACAAAAATAAAAGAAATCCATTCCTTTCTAATTTCCATACGTCTGGGTCATTCGCTCTAAAGTTTGAACGAAGTTATTTTCATGACAAAGTACTTCTATCCATGAAATGTCATCAAAACTAGGGAGGATGTGCCACTCAGGACTACTTCCCTTGAATGCCGTACTATTTGATTAATATCCGTACTATTTCAAGGTGATGTTTCCATGATCTGCTTTTAAATCTTGTTTGGTTTCTTTCTTCTTCTTTTTTTTTGCCGCAGATGTCGAAGCTGTACCACCACAAGCTAGACAAGATTTTGATTCCGACTGACCCATTCTTTAAAGGTCCATTGCCTTAGGAAATTAAAACTTTTATGTCTTGTATCAAGACCCTTTTAAAGCAACATAATAACAATTGTTTCATAAATAAATGCCTCCTTATATTTTTTACAATTTTTTGAAAACCTCTCCAAGTTGCTCGTCTAATGGTGGACCCCGCCCCTTACAATTCTCAGAGTTCCTCGGAATGATTGACCAAAGGATTAGTGATGTTATATCAAGAACGATCTCCGCTTAGGCAAGCTACGGTGCTTGCTAGCCAGCTCTGCAGGCATTATGTTTTGTACACAAACATAAACAATAACTTTTGTTATTAAATAGTGTGCTATGCATCTTTACTTGTTATTTATTGTGGTGAAATTTCACTAATGGCCCAATTTTAAAAAGAGAGCTATACCATGAGTCGAAGAAGGTCGTAATTGATTTGAATGCCTGTATAACGTGTCAACTAAATGCATGCTATAAAGAATTTCAAAGGTAAGAAAAAAATGTTTCATATATCTAAGTGACTGAATGTTTTTCGCACTACCTTCTTCTCAATTTAAAGAAATATTGAAAGTGGTATATCAGAGTGAAGAAACTTGTGTTTTTCCCTTTACAAGCTCTGCTCTTTTCTTACTTCACTTTCAAATTTCCTCTCTTGTTATATAAACATTTAGCGATTGCTTTACTTCACACATTCAAGCAATGTATACTATCCCTCCTAAAAAAAAACAGTTTGTAGATGTATCAGCATCTCTGAAATGCTTAAGCATAAAAAATGTTGGCAATTTCTCTGAATTTTATTTTTTATTTTTTATGGAACATTGTTTACATTAATTGCCTAGTTCTTGGTATGCAAATGGTGGACACTTTATTAATTTCTTTATATTTTTGTGCTGTACATATGTAGAGGAATCTTGTCATAAGCAATCGTGTTCGTCTGCCAGAAAATTTGTTTTGTTTTACTCGGGAAGTTGTGAGGATTGTTTATTATATTCGTACAATGAATTTCAGTATGTTATGTTGTGTTACGTGTAAGCGACAATTCATTTTATAACAGCTCCTATCGTCCTAGCATTCATTGATAGTAGGCCTATATTGTGACACATTGAGATACCTTGAACTTGAAACTATGTTTACATCTTTTTCGAATTCAAACGAAAATACAAAAGAAAGATGTACAATAATTGTAATCACATTTACAACAGTTTGTTTATTACACATAAAATAAAGTATGTTTTATCACAAAATCAGTTTATTTTCCTTGTTCTTTTGTTTTGGAGGGAGGGGGTGTATTCAGAGCAAATTCTAAGAAGCAAGATGGTGAACTTTTCATTAAAATGGGACAAATAAGTTGTTATCAAGTTTTGATAGTGATTAAAATGTACAAGATAATAGACATGACGAAATTAAAATAACATGTCCCTCTTGCTTCAATATATTGTTATTATACATATCTTCCAGAGGGATCTAAGTCGAGTTCTATAATGAACTTTCCTCAAATTCAGTCTAATTTTGATGAAATTGTTACTATCTTCATTTTGTGGATTTTGCTCTGTTTATTTATTTAATCCAATCTTAAACTACTTGGCTTTTCCTTGTCACGTTGTGATGCATGTGTTTGAATGATTGTACATGTCCGATGTAGTATGATCTTGACGATGTTCTTATGAACGGACGACTGATGTTGGTGTGAATATGTTTTTGAGTTGGTGTTGGTAATGTCAGAAGGATGTTGGCATGAACTGGAAAGGGGAGGTACAACGTCGGCACATGGTGGGATACGGGTTGGCATAACGTTGCTTCTACGTCGGCAAATGGTGGAGAAGAAGTTGGCATAACGTTGGTCTAGCATTGGCACATGGTGGAGGAGGGGTCGGCACTTGGTAGGAAAAGGGTTGGCATTATGTTAGGACAACGTCAGGGAGACGTCGGCACATAGTGTAAAAGGGGTTGGCATTACGTTGGTCCTACGTCAGGGAGACGTCGGCACATGGTGGAAAAGGGGTTGGCATTACGTATGTCCTATGTCGGCATATGGTGGGATAGGGGTTGACATGACGTTGGTCATACGTCGGGAGGACGTTGGCCCGATGTTGGCTTAATGTCATTTCGTCGCTGTCGAGCCAACGTTGGCCCGCCGGCAAGAAAGCCGTTGGCCCAACATCACATTGGCGACGATGGCGCAACGTAACAGCCCACGACGTCGGCACATGGTGGGATAAGGGTTGGCATAACGTTGGTCCAATGTCGGAACTACGTCGGCACATGGTGGGATAGGGGTTTGAATAACGTTGGCCCTACGTCGTGGAGACGTCGGCACATGGTTGAAAAGGGGTTGGTATAACGTTGGGCCAATGTCGAGGAGACGTCGGCACATGGTGGGATACGGGTTGGCATAACGTTTATCCAATGTCGGAACAACGTCGGCACATGGTGGGATAGGGGTTGGCATAACGTTGGTCGTACGTCGGCACATGGTTAAAAAAGGGTTGGGACGACGTTGGTCCAATGTCGGAAAGACGTCGGCATACGGTGGAAAAGAGGTTGACATAACGTTGGTTCAATGTCGGGAGGACATCGGCACATATGGTCGGATAGGGGTCGGCATAACGTTGGCCCGATGTTGGCTTAATGTCATTTTGTCACTGTCGGGCCAACGTTGGCCCGCCGGCAAGAAAGCCGTGGGCCCAACATCATGTTGGCGACGTTGGACCAACGTAACAGCTTACGTTGGCCCCACGTTGGCGTAACGTCGTATTGTTATCTGGGATGAAAGAGAGACTCTAGGACACCAACAAGAAGGAGAGATGGAGGTCCACCAACAAGAAGGAGAGACAGAGGGCCACCTACATGAAAGAGAGATTCTAGGACACCAACAAGAAGGAGAGATGGAGGTCCACCAACAAGAAGGAGAGACAGAGGGCCACCAGCAAGAAGGACAGACACAAGGACATGAACAAGAAAGAAGGACTCTAGGACACCAACAAGGAGAAGACATACATATATACCAACGAGGAAAGACACAGGTCCACCAACAAGAAGGAGAGACTCTAGGACACCAACAAGGAGGAGATACACATGTCCACCAAAAAGGAGTGACAGAGGACCACCAACAAGAAAGAGGAACACAAATCCATCAACAAGGAGAGACACAAGTCCACCAAAAAGGAGTGACAGAGGACCACCAACAAGAAAGAGGAACACAAATCCACCAACAAGGGGAGACACAAGTCCATCAACAAGAAAGAGAGACTCTAGGACACCAACAAGGAGGAGATACACATGTCCACCAACAAGGAGAGACACATGTCCACCAACAAGGAGGAGATACACATGTCCACCAGCAAGAAGGAGAGACAGAGGGCCACCAACATGAAAGAGAGACACAAGTCAACCAACAAGAGATAGGGACTCTAGGGCATCAACAAGAAAGAGGAACACAAATCCACCAGCACAGGGAGACACAACAAGAAAGAGGGACTCTAGGACACCAACAAGAAGGAGAGATGCAGATTAATCAGCAAGAAGGACAGACACAAGGACACGAACAAGAAAGAGGGACTATAGGACACCAACAAGGAGGAGACATACATTTCCACCAACAAGAAGGAGAGACACAGGTCCACCAACAAGAAAGAGGGACTCCAGGACTCCAACAAGGAGAGACACAAGGACACCAACCAGTCGAAGGAGAGTTCAAAGGATTAGAACAATCTGAGCATCCACAAAACTGTGTATCTCCATCAAGTTGTTCCTCAGATGAGGAAGAGCAGTACACACGCCCAAGAAGGTTCATCTACCCTAACCTATCTAAATCATCAAGTGAACTCCAAAATCATTTTGACAGTGATGAATCTGACCTTGATCCAACATATCGACCAGAGGAGGGTAGCAACGAGGAATACAGCAGTGATGATGAGGCAACTCTTGAGATTCATCCAAGAAATGTTCAAGTGCGCAAGAGACCATCTTCTGTTATATCTACACCTGATGAAAAACCTACAAAGATTTATAAACAGTGCCTTCCAGGATCATTTTCAGGGCCAGAATTGCCACATCAGAAAACCAATGATAATATGGAAACGACACACAAACACGAGGACAAGAAAACAAGGTACAAGAAGCCATCAAGGCCATGCCCTTTCTGCAACAAAGCTTGTGGTGAAAAGCTCTCGAGACACATTTGTTTGGTACATAAGGATAAGGAGCAGGTGAAATCTGCCATGCAGCTGCCAAAGCGGGAGAGAGACAAGGTGTTCTCAAAGTTCAGGAAGGAAGGCATATACCAAGTAAATAGAGAACGTATGAAAGATGACAACCCCATTTATGAAAGAGAAAAGTTACCAAAATCAGGGAATGATGACAACCTTAAAATGTGCAGTAACTGCAAGGGCTTTTACAGCTCACATTTCTTCTGGCATCACAGGAAAGTTTGCCAAGGTGATATATGCACTCCATCTGAAGGAGTACCAGTAAACCTCATGGAAGGGAAAGATCCAGTGTATCAAAAACACCCAGACTTTGTCACTGACATACTTAGTAGATTCCAGAATGATGACGTTGGGAATACGTGTAGAACGGACAAAGTGATAGTTAATGTTGGACATCGACTGTGGACTAAACACAGATCCAAAAAAGACAAGAAACTTGAAGTAAGAAAATCAGTTATGGCTGATATGAGAAGACTTGCCACCTTATACACTGAGTTTAAGAAGAAACACGAGGTTCATGGGACTGCAGATCTCACAATGGGACATGCTGGAGACATGTTCAGTAGAGAGCACTTCGAATCTTTGACAGAGGCAATCCAGACGCTCACTTATGATGAAACTGAAGGCAAACTAAAGCCAGGACTGAAACTCTGCTTGTACTTTGTGCTGAAAAAAGCTAGCAAAATCACTAAAGCTAGTTTTCTTGTATCCAGGCTAGATGAAGATGCATCTGAGATTGACAAGTTCGTAGAGATTCTTGACTTGAACCAGAATTTGATTTTTGGGGATGCACACTACGAAATCCAAAAGAATCGCCAAGTGCGTTTGAGGAAGCCTGCAGAGCTCCCGCTTGAGGCTGACATTGAAGCATTGAAGACATACACTCAAAAGAAAGTCACAGAAATCATCTCTGATGAGTTCCTGGTTTGGGATTCTCACACATTTGTAGAGTTACGAGATCTGACTTGCTCGCGATTGACATTATGGAATGCAAGGCGTGGTGGAGAACCCAGCAGGCTTACAACCGAAGAATGGAGAGATGCAGAAGAGGGTGTATGGATGCAGAAAGACAAGATTCATGAAGTTAAAAATCCAGCCCATCAGGAACTTTTATCTCAGCTCAAGATATGCTACCAGACTGGGAAGGGCACTAATCGCTTGGTTCCAGTCCTGTTCCCAAGAGACACTGTGAAACCTGTGCAACTTCTATGTGATCAGGAGATCCGGCATACAGCAGGAATAAGACCTGATAATAAGTACATATTCGCTTGTACTCAAATGTCTCATGACCATGTTGGAGGGTGGCATGCTCTAAAGAATGTCTCAGACAACATCAGCCTTTCGTCCAACGTTACGGTGAATGCCACCAAGAACAGGCACAGAGTGTCTACAATTTACGCATCCCTCGACTTGCCTGATGCTGACTTGGAACTATTTTACCGGCATATGGGACACTCCTCTACAATCAATCAAACAATCTACCAGACCCCACTTGCCATCCAAGAAATCACCCGAGTAGGGAGTCATCTCCATCATATAGATATAGGAGGTAGGTAAACATTTATACAAATTTTGCATTGGTTCAATGTACCATATTATATGTACAGCAAATTTATGATTATCTCGAGTTCAGATTTATAACAGCGAGGCAGTAGTAATAGAAATAAGAGCTGATATAATTTTGAATTGGGATAGCATATAGGATAATAACATCGAGCAACAAAACAACCAGTAAATGATACACCCAATTGTACATTTATATGAAAACAATTGCAAAATATTGATGGAAAAAACTTGCACCATTTCATATTCCCAAATCTGAAGCAAACCTAACGCAGAAAACAAAAATGTTCATCAAGTGATATTTTATTTACTATTTATTTATTTCATAAACTCTTTGTGTTTGGTATATATTTATTTTGTATTTGTTTGATTGCACTATTACAAATTTGTTAATTTGTTTATGCTCTCTCTCTCTTATATTGACTGTTGTTATATCGTGTATGCAAATTATTGATGTTCGCATTTTATATGTCTTTCCCTTCCCATAGGAATGAGGGCACGCAAAGAATCTGAAGCGTCTGATGACGATGGCTGCTCAAGTGCACCAGCGACCTCAAAGGATGGCTGCTCTACAGCACGGGTGAACTCTAAACATGACGACTCAACTCTAACGGTGACCTCTGAGGATGGCAGCTCAACTACACCAGCGACCTCAAAGGATGGCTGCTCTACAGCACGGGTGAACTCTGAGCATGGCAACTCAACTCTAACAGTGACCTCTGAGGATGGCAGCTCAACTACACCAGCGACCTCAAAGGATGGCTGCTCTACTGCAACATTGACCTCTGGGGATAGGTCTTCAGGTAATATGAAAGCGAAGTGTTTTTTTTTGTGCACATTGTTGCTTTGATATTAAACAGGGAGTTGTTCCCATTAACTCTGCAGTTCAACTACATGTGCTGAATTCATAGTTGTATTGTATTGTTGAGAATCATAGGCATGAGTTCAAAACTTGGTTCTTGTAGAATGAATCAGTTCATAAAGGTTTCAGCATATGATACAATGGAGATTCATGAAGAAAAAAAAAAGTAGTAGATTCATGCATTTATATGACAAATATTGGTGTAAAACTAATTGGATCTGCTCAGGAACGCAACACTGTATGGGAAAAGTTTATAGCTGACCATAATGAGAAGTTTTCCCAGCAACCATTGTAAATACTGAAAGATTGTGTGATATGGATACAATTTGAATCTAGCAACTGCGAGAGTAATGGTAAAGGTGTATTTGGCCTAGACATTTAAAAGTTGGAGGGACACATGGGCTCTAACTACCTGTGCGCATGCATACAGCTTGTTGATTGATTTATTCCATATTTTTTAGCCCATGTGAGCAGAATGCTCAAGTGAGATTTTGCCATCCGTTTTGTTTGAAGGGGGTATACTGGAATCAGCGTGCAGTCGGTTGGGCGGTCGCGCGGTCGGTCGAATCTTGTGTCGTGAACTACTTTCTCAGTTTTTGAACAATTCTAGTGAAATTTGGCACAAATGTTTGCCTTGGGGTGTTGATGAGCAGACACACTATAGGCCCCTGAGCAAATTTACAAACTTTTTTTTCCCCCTTGGGGCACTATGGGGAGGTTGCAAAATTCAGGTGAGCATCTAGTCTACTGGGCTCTTTTTGAGTATTTTTTATTTTATTTTTGCCACATCATATGAGATGGGGATTTGAGGTTTGCAAAACATTAATCACCCTGTTTAAATTACAGTATCTTTTGCCCATAAATAAATTGGTACATGTAGGTGTCCCGATGCTGTGGTTATGTTTCATGAGATAAAGCAAATTCAGGGGAGGGTAGTCATGCAAGCTGCAACCGGAGTGTTGTGCGTTTTAAAGTATTTTTCTTCTTTTCAAACATCTGTCATAGATGTAGGCACAACATGTGACAAACTGTGAAACATGTCTGAAGCGTAGAAGTATATAAGGCTTATATGTTATGTCATTACAGCCCGAAGGTACAACCGCTGGTCAAAGCAGGGAAGCAAGCAGTGCAAGCAGTATTTCTCTGCAGCAATCAAACAAGGGGAACCATTACCAGGTAAGCTTCTTTGTGTTTATGTTTAAGTGCATCTTTAGGCAAAGGGTTGAGAAAAGTTGTAATTTTGTTGTCATTTTAAAGGGCAGGAAACTGGTATAGCATGTATTAGAAGTGTGCATATAATTTATATAAAAATCAGAATATTGTGTTCCAAGAAACTAAGTTCCAGGGATCCCCAGCTTTCAGTTTTGGTAGCTTCCATTTACTAGTTTCAAGGTCTAGTCATTATTATACCCCTGCCAAACGAAGTATATAGGAATCAGCGTGTTGGCAGAAGTTGATGACAGTGGCAGAAAGTGCATTGCCATGGTAATGGCATATTATGACAAACAAAGGGGGGGGGATCTTGCGTCGCGAACTACTCCTTCAGTTTTTAACAATTACGTGATAACTCAAGTATGACTTGATGGAATATCATCAAACTTTGAGTAGGACTTGGCAATTAATAAATTTGATTTTGAGTGACACTGCAATAGCTGGGGGGGGGGGGGGGGAGGGGGTTATTCCCCCATCCATCAGATGTTCTTCGTTTACGCGATAATTTGAGTATGACTTGATTGATGTCATTAAACTTGGTGAGACGGTCATGTAGGACATGACAAGTAACTCAGGACTCATTTGATTTCCCCACCCCCATCTCGGACCTCGGCCATATATCAATGTGTGGCATGTGTGTATACATGGATTATTTGTTTTACAAAAATGCATAGTCAAATTTATTGTTATTCCTATTTGATTATGCACATATGCAACTTTTTTTCCAGGAGTTCTGCTTTTTTTCTTCAGTTTCCAGCATTTATGGAGAAAGTGCACTTAATTGACATAAATTGGCTTTTCATGTACTCTGAAAGATAGCTTAGTCAAATTAATAATAAGTATTGAAATTTCATATGAGTTGATAGTGCAAATATGCAAATTTGTTCAATATAATGCAGTGCGTGAGAGGGCAGAGGCATACCAGTCGACTAGTTCCTATTTAATAACCTAAGATAGTATCGATGATGACAAAGGATTTAGAATGTATTGTTCTTATTTCATACCCAGGGAGGAAGGCCTGCACCACTTTCCTGCAAAGACATCAAATCACCATGGAATGGCAGGCGGTAAGAAATAAGGTGATGAACGAAAGGAATAAAGCAAAGAAAAACTTTGATGACAGAGAGAGGAGCTTCCTAAACTAATAATATTAGTTGGGTCAGATCATATGGTCTGATTAACATCTTTTGTTGCCTTTTTTGGCACAATACATGTACCTTCACCTGTATATTCCAGTAGGTATGTGGCTTCTAAATGAATATTCATGAAAGAGCTTGCACAAGGACTCATCCTCGTTTTGTTTCAGTGTCAAGCCTGGTCCTTTATCTGCACATGCGCAACCTGTAACTTGCTCTAATTTGTGATAGAGCTGAATTGATGAAAGTCTAATATGGTGGGCAAAGAGGTCAGTTGAAACATTGGTGTAATGATGATTAATGAGCCTGAATGAAGTTAGTTTATTTCGGTTTTCCCTGCCATTGACTTAGTGTATGTATTAAAGAAAGTGCTAAATGGTTATATAGTGGACATTTTGTAACCTGGATGTATGCAAGTTAAATGAATATTAAAGGTAATACAAAGTTTTGGGAATATTTCACTAGGGTCGGAGAATAACGTTTAAATTTTCATTATCATTGTAAAACCTTGTGTACGAAAAACCGCCTCTGAATAAATTGGGCTCTAAAACGCTTTGGATTTCGAGATATTCTAATATGAAATTTATCGGTGCTCCCGATAAATTTCAAATAGCGCCTACGGTCATATAACGGTAGTTGCGACCATGAAAATCTCGGAATATGCAGTTCTGATATTAGGTTTCCAAAAGAATAGTCAAGAAACATTGCTTTAAAGCTAAAGTAATATCAATCCGGAGAGGGTGCTATACAACATAAAGAGTTTATTATCTACAATTTCATCACTTTAGACTCGATTACAACAGCGACAACGATCATTGTGTTTTGTTGGATCGTATATATGCTTCCAATATGTACATTTGAACAAAATTCATGACCCCATACCAAAACTTTGTATTACCTTTAAATTTAATTCAGGATCAAATGAAGATGACATGTATCTAATTAATGATGTAATGATGAATACTGCTTTTAGTGCATGATGAAGGTTTGGACATTAGAAATGATTGGTTGCACACTGTACAGTGAAGTGTAGTTATGCAGTCAAACTTCAAGTTCAATTCAAGTTTATTAGAGTGAACATATTATTAGACAAAGGGTATTTATAGTACTTGATAATGATGTCAGTTTGAGCACAATCCCTTTTCGAAGTGTTTTTGAAGAGCATCAACTTGATTCCACAAGCACAGATATTACAAAGACACTTAGATGTCATTTTACTATCTAATCTTGCATATATATGGATTGCACGTTTGCATCTAGTTGAACTTTTGTTATTGTTATTCCTGTTATTGGAATATTTTACAGCATTGCCTTTTATATGGTGTACATATTTGGCTACATCAGTGTTCTTTGTGACAAGAGTAAATAATGCTAATTTGCTCATTTAGTGCTATAATAATTACATGTGTTAATGTTTTTATTCATGAGAAATGTAGGAAAAGTATAACGATTACATTCTGACCCACTAGGTTGTAGTGTTGCATAACATTGGGCACTGTCCCTATTCATCCCAGAATATATAGACATCGAAATATGAAAATGACTACATCGGGATTAATTTCAGAACCGAAGATCTCCACATGTATGTTCTTTCTTTTGCTTTCATTTGTGAGGACCCAGACCAAAAATGAGATGACTTCCTTTACTAGATTCAAAAGATACAGGCAAAGTTTTGACCACATCTTAATTTTACACCTTTTTTGAGAAGCTCTGTTTTCGTTCATGCACAAGTGGTTATTCATTGGTTCATATCAAGTTAGTCATGGTTGGGTAGAGTATGTATGTTCCAATTATATGTAGAATTTCAAGGTTAAGCATTATTAGTTTTATAAATATTTTAGAAATATAAAACTACTACTGCTACTACTACTACTACTTCTACTACTACTACTACTACTACTACTACTACTACTACTACTACTACTACTACTACTAGTCTTGTATTACTACAACTACTACTAGTAGTACTACAGTACTACTACTGCTGCTGCCACTGCTGCTACTACTGCTACTACTACTACTACTACTACTACTACTACTACTACTACTACATTGGAACCTCTTTATAACGAGGTCCTTGGGACCATGAAAATTACCTAATGTTATATCAGGTTTCTCATTATATCAGTGTAAGAAACCAAAGAAATATAAAGAGCTGGGACCAGCAAAATTACCTCGTTATAAGAGGATTTTGTTATATCCGATATCGTTATAACGAGGTTCCACTGTACTACTACTACTACTGCTACTGCTGCTACTACTACTACCACTACTACTACTACTACTACTACTACTACTACTACTACCACTACCAAGGAGGTTTACTACCAAAACCACCACCACACTACTTTGTTCTGTCTCTCTCCCCTTCCTCCCTCCCTTTCCCTATTTCCAATTTTCTGTCTCTTTCTTGCCATTTCTTTATTTTCTTGCCTGATGATGTGATACACTGAAATATTTTCTTGTATTGTCTGTGCAATTTAAATTGTTTCTTTAATATTCAATGTGACTATTAATTTAATATTTTGCATTGAGATCTCTCCCATTTATATAATATATGTATTCTACTTCATGCTTATTTATAATTTTGAGCATGTGCCCAATTTTTATTGCTTGATTTTAGACTTGCTCAATTAATCCATGGTTTACCTTTGTAATAAATTCCTTGCTAATAAAATAACTAAATAGTTCCCGCGTTTTGTTTTTGCTTTTGAATGTGACCTTTTGTGGATGACCAGTTGAAGATGTGAATGCATATTTTGATTGAGTTTGTGTCCATATACACATGTCTGTGAGATTCGTTGTGTCTGGTTCGTTTTGTTTGGCTTGTGCTAAACGGTCGGGTCGCGTTCGGGTTCCTTTTTGAAAGTTAGCATATGGTGTCTTCACATGCAAGATTCTTTTTCCTTTTCATATTTTTCTTATAGTATACAAATCCATTCATATGACATTGATAATGATATTATGATTTATAAAGAGGATAGTTATAATTATGATAATGGGATGAAGATGGTAAAAACTGTTGCGCACCTGTTGCGCCCTGGATCCGCCACTGCATGTCATATCGAGTATTAACAAAAACAAAGGACATGTGCGAATATACCTCCACACAAGAAAAAAATGATAAAAAAAACATTAATAATAACATAGACAAAATAATCGATAAACTTGTACTTCAAGGAGACACAAATATGTCTCCATTGAGTGGGTGTTTCCTAGAAGTAATGCATGTCTTCAAAGACCCAGGAAGTTTCCAGTTTGTGGAATTAAATCAAATAACAATAATAATAATGATGATGATAATATTTCTATAGATCTGACATTTGGGAGACATTTTGGTGTTATTATACCTACTTATAGGAGACACCCACATGAAGGAGACATTTTCGTGTTAATAAACAAGAATTTATAACAATGTTAATAGAAATGATAATAATGATAATAGTTATTATAATTATAACGATAATAGTAATTTAATATAGACTAAGCCTATGTGCAATCCTTATAACCCTTTAGGCTTGTATGAAGACTAATAGTATGTTCAAAAATCTATAAAGCAAAACATACATTTTAATTATGTTACATTTATATATATATATATACATATATGTGTGCATGCTCAGTATCACTATCATTAGGAGACATGTCTCCCAATAGTATGAGAAAGACAAAATGTCTCCCTTTTGTTGCTCAGATAGTAATGAAACGTAAAGGAGACATAAATTACGACGGTATATCTTTTACCGAAAAAGTGTGTCTTTGAGGGTAAAAAGTAATTAAGTAATTGAAAGACTCTGGTTTGAAGATCTTTTCTGCGAAATAAAAACGAAAGTTTGTATGCTTGTTTTAACTTTATGGTACCATTTTGCTACTGTCTCCAAAATATTGATTTTTATCACATGTCTTCCGTATGTGCAATCCATAGTTATATATATATATATATATATATATATATTATATACATATATATATATACATATATTATGTAAATAGTTACTATATATTATCCGTTCAAGGGAATGATCGGTCTATGTTTGAGTAGATATTGGCAAACGGACATGTTGATATTTACTTAACTATTTCATTTCAGGGATAAGTTTGGATGTAAACATATATATTGGTAGGATAGGAGCAATAGTAGTGTGTTTGTGTTAGGATTACGTGACTATGTTTGTTTGTACATGTATACGAGTATTCAACTATTGTGTATCGAATTAATTTGTATTAAAAGGCAGTCCGTGTCACGAGTTTGACCAATATACATCTCCTCTTTGCCTCCATCTGTTTTACAGACTCTTATCCCAACGAGTAACATCTATTTCTGGTACCATTTGCTTAGTATGCCCTGCATCTAAATTTGTTTTTATCCAGAGCTATTAATATGCCTCCGTTGTTGTGTAAGTGTGATTAAGAAAGTGATGTAAAAAAAAAAGAAACTATAAAAAACGGTGTATTCACTAATTCGCTTATTGAACAGTACGTTTGTCGATCACACTCTACATTTTTGGCACTGTTATTGCACGAGTAACATGGGCACTTTAGATATTTTTACACGTATTTTTTTCTGATTTAAAACAAATATACACAGCCGGGCTGAAATACTGGCACTGAGCACGTTTTTTTATGGGGCATAAACGGTTAAAGTCCAAAATACATTAATTCATTCTTTGCTTATCGCATATTATAATCACACTACGTAATGTATTCCATCGGCATAAAGTACATGTACTATAAAGATTGATAACAATATATAGGGAAATGCTTATACGAGAGAGGATTATACATGTGCACTGCAGTAAGTTATAAGATCAAGAGATTAACCATGGCTTTCCTCGGGAAATTGGGTACTAGGCTGCAAACAACGGTGTTCATGCTGTCCTGCATGAGTGCAAGTAAGTTTTTGTACAACATTACCTCTTTGCCGATATTTGTTAATGAACCTATTTTGTAATTAATTATTGTTAAATTGTCACAAAAGGGTAAGAGTATATTTTCATGAGGGGATATCAAACAGGAGGTGCATACAAACTGTACAAAAAAAAAAAATGGCAGTCTTTCATTCACACAAGATTGTGACTTAAATCTATTTGAGTTATTCTAAACTGGATGAGATTCAAACAGCTGCGCAGTACATGTATCTGGGGTAACATATTCCGAGAGTGAAGTTAGGATAAGAAACGATATTAGCTTTTAAAGATAAACAAGATTAACTTTTAACTAATTGAAGAATGTAGACTCTATGATTATATTCAGATGAATTAAATCGTTCTGAGCCTTTCTATGCAAATTGATGATGATTCAGTGGCGTTTGGACAGTGGGGTCGGAGAAGGGGATGGGGTAGGGGCAAAACATCTGCCCAACTGATAATCCCTGTATTTCTGCAAAAAAGAGCACATTTTGTGAAGACAGGGGGAGAGGGGGGGGGGGGGGAGGGAGATGCACGTTTCTCATCTTCTCTATCTCTGAGCTTGTGATTGACAACAAAAAGTTTTGGGTTGGATGGAGTGACAGCTTCCCTTTTATTATCACAACTCCAGTTGCCGTTGATAGTTCTATTCGCTTGTTTGGAGGATCTTCAGACAAAGAGGGCGCTGTCCAGGTCAACGTGACAGATGAATGGAGGAACATCTGTAATGACGGATGGGATGCACTGGATGCTCTGGTAACCTGCAGACAGCTGGGGTTTACTGAAGGATATGCTTTGCTATGGTATGATACGATGAATATCCATGGTACAACTGAAGCACCAAAGAATTGGCTTGACACCGAGGGAAACGAATTCGCTTGCAACGGAAACGAGAAAACCCTGTTGTCATGCAAGCACACGAAGAGCTCCACCTATTGCCCACAACGTGCTGGCGTCGCCTGTGGTACGTCTGTTTTTTAATAAATATTTTATATAAATTAACATTTTCTTTTAATTGTTTTTAATTGTTAAATATTTGTAAAAGCTCTGAGCCCTTTTGTAATAATATTGTCGGCAATCAAAATATATCCAAGGGATTCGTTTCAAGTTTCCACTGATTCTGTTATCATTTTATCCAGGGGTCACAGAAGTCAAATACAATGACATATTGGCGGAAGATTGGGGCAACCATGATGTCACTTATGAAGTGATCACTTCAAGCGACAGGTCAGGTGGTCGAGTACTGGCTAAACATGCCTATAATTTTCAAGGCATATACTTGACTGGTGGTGTTTGCGACATGAACCAGCGAATGGCTATGTTAATATGCAGTGAACAGGGATACAGCAATGGTGGGCAGGTAAGTCTATTCCTCTTGCGACGAAACGTATTTTAAAAAGAGGATATATACACACATGGACACACACGAATATATATTATATATATATATATATATGTATATATATATATATATATATAAATATACGCTGTCGAAGTCTTTTGTTTACGGCTGATTGTCAACGAAATGGAGTTAAATCTTTTGTCAATTCTGTTTGTTGCTACGGCAGGCACCCAGTGAAAACGAATTCGTTTGATACAATTATGGAAATGCAAGCACTACTTAAACAAACAGAACTTTGTCATTCCTTGCTCATTTTTCCTGATTGAGGTGTCATGTGAAAGGGTAGAAACTCAACTTGTTAGAAATGTGATTTTCTCCATGAAATTCAGATACCGTCCGCCAAATGACTTTTCAGTTTCCTCTCTTCAAATTCATTGTAATCACTCATATGTGAAATACGTATTATATGATTGACATCAAATGAAAGAAGTTATGATAATTTTCGATTTCGTTTTTTCTGGGACGCACTGTATATGATTAAAGCGTAATTCGCTGTCCGTATTTTGTCGCGCGTAGCTACTTTCTTTCATAGATCTTCCGTTGCACAAAAAAAAAAAAAAAAAAAAAAAAAAAAAGAGGAGAGGCAGAAGAACAAAAACGAGAATAATAAGACGAAGGTAGAAGATAAAAATAAGAAATAGAAAATTTCAAAAAAAAGTAGAAGAAGGAGAGTAATAAAACAAAAACGGTGTCAACCAGTGTGTATGAGCTGTTATGAGTGTGAGTTGTAGGTCTGCATATTTCTAGCATGGTATCACATTTAATCATTACTTACTGTCTATTATGTTTATTTTCTGAACTTTTGTTCTTGTTCTAAATTCGCCCTTTTCTCCATTAATATCTTCCTTTCTAGGTACTGAAAGTTCCGTCCTTAGATGGCCTACCGATGCTTGTTAGCACAGTATCATGTGGTTGGAATAATAGGGATTCTGGATGGTGCGAACGGACGTACACATCGACGGGTGTTTGCACCGATGGTATCCAATATAATGGTGTCCAGTGTTGTGAGTGAATTGTTGTTTCAGGTTCCTGCCTTCATCATCTCATGAAATGATTAATTGTATCCATGGCTCTTATCTAAAGTTGAATACGATTCTTTAGAACAAACTGACTATGGAATCGCAACACTTATCCAATCCAATCCACCCCGGGAACTCACAATATTACACCGAGGTCCATTCGTTCACGATTTTGCCGATGCACGCATAGCGCGAGGAGGGGGAGGGTGGGGGGGGGGGGGGGGGGTGGTTTTAACTTGATATTTCGTAAGTGTATGCCGCCATGATCTTTCATACCTTTTAGGCATGTTAGGCGCAATATATTTATACAATGCAAGTCTTCACAGTTTTCCCCATCTATACTTAATTCCATATGTACGTAAGTGTAAGCCTTGATATTATGACCTACAGTTGTATGAGATTCAATTACATACCTTAAGACCAGCATCTATCTACTTTGCCAATATGACAAGGTAATGAATAATCATCATCTTTCAAAATAAAATTTAAAATATACCTTTTTTTCTCCAAAAAAAAAAAATTGTATTTGCACGACCCTTTTGCACTGTACCCACATTATCACATTGTATTTTTTTCCGTTTTTATTGTTCTGTTTCGTCACATATTTTGTATTTGTATTGATTATATAATTTGATAGATATATGCTTTTGAACCTCGATCCTGTTGGACTATTGGACTTAGGCCTTGAGCTTTTTTTTAACCCCGACAACAAATAATCTACTTTAATTTCATGTTACTTTATGTACCTTAGTTCATTCCATGCCTTTGTTCTTATAACACATTGATGTCTATACTGTGATCATCTTCAATAAACCTTTAGTGGCCATTTACGAATTTTCACATGTTAATGTACTATGCGGAAATAAATGAATGTGAGATTGACATTTTTTCTTTTTCATAGATACAACATTGGCGCCGTCTGTCACTGGTGCCCTAGTTTTCGCTGCTCTGGCGTCCTTGATTATCCTCATAGCCGGTGCGTGTGCTGTACGTTGGATCTTGAAAGATCGAAAACCTTCCCACGTTCCCCTCAATATTGATGTGAATGAGCCTGATGACGTTTAATGAATACAAAAATATGTATTTTTGTTTGTTTAAATGGGATATAAATGCATGAAATCATCAAATTACTCCCCAATTCTCACTCGTCTTCTGCCCTAGTTTCGAAATCCTGCTAGCGTAAAGAAGAAGACCACGGCCTCGTGTATACGTTTTTGGCGACGGTCGCTGTTTTAAGGGGGGGGGGGGGTGGGGGTTAACAAAACAAAACTAAAATCCGACCGACCGACCGACCCAGGTTCTGGCATTTAAAGAGCAATATTTTTTTTTTTTAAAGGTCTAATCCAGAAACCTAACTTATATAAGGAGGTTGATCTATTATCATTTGTTTTCTTCTACGAATTTTCATTTCACATTGCACTAGTATTAAAAACGATTTTTAATGAAGGTCTTTATAGTTTTTCATGTTTATGCTTTTAACAGAGCTCTTTCTGTGTAGATTATGTTCGCTCATATTCATGAAATCCATGCATTCCCACATTTTCTTTACAAGAAAAGTCGCACACCACTGGAGTTTGGCATAAGTTTGGTATTCTTCCAGCGTCAGTCATACTGATGTAGCATGGTACATTGTGTATGTTATACTATTTTAAGTCATGCTTTTTTTTGAGGGACATATCTTCAAAATATTTAATCAACATTTCTAACAACCACCAAACACACTTCATACGACAAGTGTGCTGTCCTGTTGTTGTTGTTGTTGTTGTTGGTGGTGTTGTTCTGTGATTTGGCACATTTGTAAGAAGAACAAATGTTTAAATTGATCTTAGCATCTTGTCAGTATTCTTGTCTGTGACTGTTAGGAGTGAAAGAGCGGGAGCCATTCCTCAAACTGAACGGCGAATGAGGGGTTGGGGGGGGGGGGGGGTTGGGGGTTGGGGGTTGGGGTTGGAATTGCAACACGAGAAGAAGCTGATGATACGACTCATTCAGCCCCCTCCCACCACGTGATGGCATTTGCTCTCACATTTCAACCATATCTTATTCATACAGATTACCCCCCCCCCCCCCGTCAACACCACCACCGACCCCCTTCCTGGCTGGACCCGCCATACGCCATATGATGGCTCAGTGGTAGAGCAGTTGTTTCGTAACTGGGACGCCCCAGGTTCAAAACGGAATGGATTAACTTGTAACCCTAACTCATGTTCTTAAGAAATTTATCCTCATTATCCAGTCCCTCGGATAGGACTTAAAACCGATCCCCTTTTTGTACTTTGAGTCAGAATCTTTCACATTTCCTGACAATAATTATCATCCTAGCTTTTTCTGTTCATATATCGACATGTTATCCAGGAAATGGTTATAACAAAATAGAACCCACTGTCGAAAAATCAACTTAAGCCAATTTCAATAGCCTTGAACTTGTGCGTCACCTACTGCAATATGCGAACATGGCAATGGCGTATTACCTATTACGAACATGATTTCAATAGGGTACTGAAATTGCCAGTCGATCAGTTTCTCTTTCAAAAATAGTTTCAATTTTGTTTTATGTAGAAAATGTCTATTACTGAGGAAAGACTGCCTATTAAACTTAAAGCAAAACGTTATTAAATATCTACTTGTTCTAGTTGGTTTCATCAATCCTGAATACAGAAGTGATGAAGTGAGAAAATGAAATAAAATTATTTACATTTTTACCATGCTTAGAACTAATACATGTCGTTTTGAAGAATTGTGATGTTGTTGTTGATCTTCTCTTGCAGAAACCTTTTCTACCATGTATTTCTACCATGTCTTCTTCCTTATGGCGTGGTAGCCTTGCAAATTGTCCCTTGGTTCTATATAGTATGCGAAATGATTTTCTTAGCAGTTGTTTTGGATATAAACGATTCTATGTACCAAGTTATGTGTGTGTGTGTGCATGTTTGTGTTCATTAACGCACACGAAAGAGAGAGAGAGAGAGCGGTAGGGGGGGGGGGGGTTTCGGGGGTTTCGGGGGTTAGGATTCGGTAAGGGGATGTCCACATAATTATAAGGACCTACGTTCGTTTAATGCCCCTTTTTGTGGCAAATACTGGTCTCTTATTGGACTATGGCCCAGTTTATATAATAACGATTTGATATTTGATGTTATGTTAATTATGTGGGATATCGCAAACTAATAGCAAGCGAAATAATGATAAATCAAATGATAGAGAGAGAGAGAGAGAGAGCGAGAGCGAAATGAGGGAACGAATGGATGCATGTATATTATATAGACATGGAGTGATATATATATATATAGAGAGAGAGAGAGAGAGAGAGAGAGAGGAAGAGAGAGAGAGAATGAGAGGGAGAAAGAGAGAGAGAGAGAGAGAGAGAGAGAGGGGGGGGGGGGGGGGTCTTGGGGTGACATGAAGAGTAAGAAAGAGAGAATAGATATAGTAGACATTACCAGACACTGGTTACAACGTCCTCTCTTTGTATCGGTTTCAAATTTCAGAATTCACTCTAAGCATTCCATACTACGACCAAACAAATACACCGACTCCGTTCGATTGCTTGTACATACATTATAGGTAAACAGAATGGGAAACGCACGTACACAAACGACTGAACTCATGTGCCGTCTGACAAAAAATCTCACAAGCAGTAAATCAATATAATATTTCGTATACTATAAGCGGTGCATCAAAATGGCGCTGGAGACATGGAATAGTGTGCTAAGATCAGGGCTTCTCTTCGTACTCTGCACATATACACGTGAGTGGTGACGTAGATAACGTGATAAGGGAAGCTGGGCAGAGGTTCACAGCTTTCTCGTTTGTGGATTTGGAGAAAAATGTGCATCATATTGCTTATAATTTTAACCGCGAATATTAGGATGCCTTCATTATACCTTTGAGAGATTCATAAAAACCTGCTTGCAAAATATAATTTAACTGCTTAATATTATCTGCCCAGACATGCTACGTGTGGGTAAACATGTGAGTTTGGTTTCGTTTATTATGAAGTGATTCTTGAAGTTGAATGCATACTTTTATGCCCAAAGAAGCGCCTGGTGATTGTTGATGTTAGAACTCAAAGCGATTGGAAGGGGCAAATATTTCCTCCTTAATATATTCCTTGGAAGAATGTGGGAAACAATCGTTTTAACCAATTATATCAAAGGGAACCATTATTGAAAAATGGTATATATTCATGTCTGTTGAATATTACCATGGACGTGAGAGTGAGCCTTGGTAAGTTGTCATGAAGACATTGCATGCAGTATATGTCAATGGTCGCGTCATGTGCAGTCGTACGTCATGCAAATGGGGTCTCGAGTACTTACGTCATTGCGAATGTGGTGGATATAATAAAGTCATTATTTCATTGGAATACAAACCACAAATGCAGGCGTTTGCATGAAGTTTGTATACAATGCAGCCGGACAAGTATAAGTTTAATACTTTAAGTAAGAAATTGACTGAAATGATGTAATACCTGTCACGTCATTGTTGTAGTTGTAGGTAATTGGATCTATGATATTTACACTGTATACCCATCACTTAACGCCATGAATCTATGGATATTGAGTCTGTCAACCCAATTAAAATTGAATTAGGCCTAAAGTAAATTTTCCAATACAAACAAATAAACCCCAAAAAAGACCTGATAACCTAATTTAAAACTCTCATATCGTAATACTTTATAGACCCATTTTTTCAAATTATTAATATTAATTGGGCGTCACCTGTGCCTGGGAGGCGAAACGCTTACTGAATCATTGTTACCCTTGGGTCTCTCCTCCAGGTATAACTGATTGGGGTTGTTTTATTCAACACGACAGCAACGACCTTCGTCAAGTTAACAAGAGGGCAATTTCAATATCTCATTGTTTACCCCAAAGACAAGATGTTCAGATTACGTAATACACCGTTTGTAATAATAAAAAACACGTTTCTACAGGTGATTTTTTTTTTTTTGTAATCGTGTCGTAAGTACTATTTATCATTATTTCTATTTGTTTATTTGTTCGTTTCACAATAGAAAGTACATGATTAAATAGTTAATGACAATGTTTGGAATGATTCTTCCCCATCAACGATTAATTTTTATTCCCTGGAGTTCTAAAGTAATCACCACGATCGCAAATGCCTTCCACAATAATGCCAAGAAAATCACCTTGTGCGTTACCTATCGAAATGTGTGAATATATCGATGACACATAATTAGTGTAATTAAGCCACCCTTAAAGGAACGTGGTAACATTGTTCAAATGAGAGAAAATAATAATAGATGCACAATCAAAGATATTCTGAAAGTTTGAGTGAAAAAGGCTCATTATTTATAATAAAAATTGGGAAAAACTGATCTGATCGATTCCTTAATTCTCCCAATTATATTATTACATTTTAGGTGAATGAAAATCGTCACAAAGCAATGAATTGGCTCTATATACCATTCCAGTCATTTAAGTGTTGACAGAATTTTTAAAAACCTGTCTTATGTCTTATTTTCATGGAAAAACGGTTGGGAAAATTCAAAAATGATTGGACGAATTTACTGTTAATCACTGTTAGACCCATACATATCTTTGTGGCTTGAGAATTTTCTCAGGATTTTTTGCCCGTTAGAGGGTTAATACAGTAGAAGGAATATAATAAGTAGCATTTCATATAAAAAAGTGCACAATTTTTTCATCAACCTTTAACAATGTTACCGAGTCACTTAAAGGTATTTTCTCGAAAGTCTTTGCGACGGTGTTCATTGAATTCTTTCATTTTCCCCTCGATCTGAATCGAAGTTATTGCTGGTAGTAGGGATTCCATTCGCCTCCTTGGGGGAGCTTCGGATAAAGAGGGATTCGTGCAGGTCAACGTCAGAGGTGTTTGGAAGGCCATCTGCAGAACCGAGTGGGACGCACTGGATGCTCTGGTGGTCTGCAGAGAACTGGGATTTGCTGATGGATATGTACAGGTTTGGAGAGAAGGCATTCTAAGCCGGGGTTACCATGCCAATAACTCCTTAGTCACAGTCACGCCAACACCAACGCCGCACTACTCTATCGAGGGAAACGAATTCGCCTGCAACGGCACGGAAAATTCGTTGTTATCCTGCAAATACAACAGGGCGAGTTCCTATTGTATAGGCCATGCTGGAGTCGCATGTGGTAGGTATGATTTTAAGATGTCGTGGTTAATTTAGTAATTATACAACTCTTTGTAGAGGTGACGTTGCATAGTGGATACAAGGTAAAACATTGTTAAAATACCCATCGTAGCACGAATATCCTTTGGCAAAACATATAACTACAATTGCCCCACTCGACCCAGGTGAGGTAGCCTAAATGGTAAGCTTAGCTTACCTTGTGCTTGAGCGCTGCCAAGTCAGTAGTGCTAATAAATAGCGCCCCCTAAAGTTTTGGGAATTGGCTTTCTTTCTGTGGCCGTACTTACATCGTTTCTTGCCAAAACCATACCCTTTTTTGGATTTAGATACTTAAAGATGTGCCCTTTTCAGCCAAGTACAAAATGATGTACCCTAACTCTGATTAAATTTGAGAAAATTGCCATCCAAATTCAGAAAAATTGCGAAATAACTTCAACTTGCTCTAAAATAACGATCCTTTAATATACCTACGTCAATGAAACTTAGCATACACATGTATCCAAGCACGTGACAAATTTGAGCTAAGTTTGGTTAGATTTGATGACATCAGCGCAAAATTATTGCCCAAAATCATGAATTTGTTATGCATTACGTAACAGCCCATTAAATGCGTGTAATACACGCAGATGACAATGGCGTCAACCTGACCGCAATGAAGTGTTCTTTCAAATGATACCAAATACGTTATATGTTTTCTCCTTGAAATTTTGCAGTAATATTCCGGGTTTTAAAACGCGGTGCACCTCGAAGCCGGATTTTTGAAAATTGTCAAGACTACATTTTATACTCTGCATGATTGTGATAGTATGGGCGGCTGTTTGTGCCACAGCACGCGTCACCACATGTTCATCATGCCCCAAATCCCATTGGTTTTGCAGGCAGTGCTTGCAAGCCCTTTCTAGGTCCTTTCCTCTATTCCAATTGCCTTCAAACTTCGTAGGCATAGTCTCTAGCATTCCTTCAGGGTCACTGTATTCTTCGTTCTCCGGAATCCCTCATGTGTGACCGTCCAGGCGCCATTTTGTCCGTTTTGGACCTCTTTGTGGCCTTTCTTTCGCCCTACCTATCTCCAATATCACGGAAGATATCCCTTATAAAAAAGTACCATGGTAACCATGTTTTTTTGGTCCAAGTATCAAACAATGATAAACATAAGGTCATCAAACAATAAATTTCATGGTGGATGGTAATTTGAACAAAAAAACATGGTTACCATGGTAATTTGTTTACTTCTTACAAATTGCTCTGGATATTCCGAGAGAAGCTCTTTCGTTTGAAACGTAGAAACACGTGCGTCATTGCACGCACATCGTTGAAACACGATTGCACATCTAGTGTTCTGCTTGATTTTGTTTATACCCGATGTCTACGAAATTGCCAAAAAATCATCCATCTTCTCTACATTTGTTCAATTTGATCCAGGTGTCACCACCAAAGAATACGGAGCATTGTTGGCTGATTCACTGTCCACGCACGGCGGTCGTTATGTAGACTACACTGTCCCCACATTTTCGGGGAAATCGACTGGCCGGGTGTTGTCTCCAGATTTGAATAGCTATCAACCTGTGTATAAAGCCGACAGAGTTCACGTTACAGGCGGTGTATGTAACATGGACAAGATGGCGGCAATGTTGATATGTGGCGATCAAGGGTATCCCAATGGTGGCAAGGTAATTTATCTACATGTATTTTTTTTTTTTATTTTGTTAAACAATTTATGTATTTATGTCTTATGTAATCAATTTTCTTATTTCTTTATTTCTTTATTTTGTATCATTTATTAATTCATTTATTTAGTTTTGTTATTCATGCTTTATTAAGTAAAATCAATTGTCGCATTGGATGTACAAGTGTGATAATTCATAGCATACCAGATACAAAATTCTTCTCTAACCATTATGGCTATGCCAAAAGATGATGTAGTTTGCAGTTGCATATCCAGAGATCCCCTACAGACCAGGGGTTTATTTCCTCTTTGTCACTAAAGAAGTGTGTGTGTGTGTGTGTGTGTGTGGGGGGCTCCACCTTTTGCAGAATACCAATCAAAGTATTCAAGCATGATGGAGTGGAAGGATGCATTTGCAAATTTTTAGAAATGACCAATATGGATTATTATGTCAAGGAACTATTAGATTTAATTGTGGTCTTTAATACCCTCCTTTATTAATGTCCTTCCCCTCCATATTATAGGTAATCCACTTGCCACCAATACCCAACCTACCTAAGCTGATTCACACATTAACTTGTATTGGAGCTACACGTCTGTGGGAATGTGACGTGGTATATACAGAGGAGGGGTTGTGTCCTGATGGTGTTCAGTACAATAGCGTCGAGTGTTGTGAGTATTCTTATAAGAACAGTATTTATCTTGTTTTTTTATCATGGCATGTGGGGAGCTCATTATACCCTAAATGAAACATTCGTCATACTGGAGCACTGAAACAAGTCACTAAAGAAAAATAAACACCCACACATCCGCACGCACACATTGATAGGTTGTTCCTTTAATAACATGATGCGTAAAGCTGCCAATTAGAATAACAACTAAAGAAGCAAAAACATAAACACTTAAGAAAACAATCAAAATGACATAAAGGAAAACAAAAAGGAAAGTTGTTATACAGTGTACTCCTCTTTGTCATATCTCTGCTATTGGCCGTTTAGCTGTATTAAACACAAAACGCTCTTTGTCAGATTCATCCTTATATACGTGTAGTTTTTCATGCATTTTGTAGGTAACTTTACTATTTCGGTGGTCTAAGTTCGGCAATAATTTGTTCGTGTTATTTTATTTTCTTTACCCCTGCAACAGTCTGAATCCTAATATTTTCATGCCAATGATGCAAAATAGCCAAATCTTGATATTTCGTGCTACTGATTATGATATGACTCGTATACCGCAATTACGATAACGTGTACAATGTATTGTACTCTTAGAAATACTAGTTAAAGATATGCCTAGATGGTGATGTATCTACACAACTACAGGCATGTTTTATTAACGCAATTCGGCTAATATTTAGCTTATTATGAAGTAATTCTTCTTTTTTTTCACCCTAACCGGACATTATATTACTCAATTTGGCTAAAGAATATAGACCTACCAGAATAAGTTTGATGCTGGACAAATTTTTATTTACCCAATATATTTAATTTGATGATATGTGACGAGTTGCGAACTATAACGAAACATGTACGTCTTAATGATTCTAAAGCAGGGCTCCCACTTAGCCGAGTTAGAACCTCGAGTTGTGGCAAGCTGGCGCGATCTTATGGCAAGCGGTTTTATTATTAATTTATATCAATAAATCAATTCTTGATATCAAGAAATAATTTTACGTTGTAAAGCAATGGTAACTCTTGATATCAAGAATTTGATTTCGTGATATCAGGAATTCGATTTCGTGATATCAAGAATTGGTTCCAACTCGGCTAAGTGGGAGCCCTGCTTTAGCTGTAGAGTTGCACTGGGTCTTCTGCAGTTACAAACAAAGCGTCGGGTCCGTGGCACGCCGTTGGTAGCAAATTGAAAAGCTATAAAGGCTCGTTAAGATATGCCACTCGGTTCGTATGTGCGGTATTTCAGAACATTGTTTTCTTTTTGTTCTTCTCCTCAAGACACAAAGTTGCAACCATCTGTCTTCGGGTCCTTGGCTTTCCTCGGTGTGGCTTCTATTCTTATCCTCATTGCTGGTGCGTTTGGCGTGTCGAGGATTTTGCGGAAACCAAAAACGTTATCAGTTCCTCACCCCGAATCCCATGAACACTCCTGATGAATGATACGAAGCTGTTTACTCCTACAAACCGAAGTGTTTGTGTCTCATTTTCAATAGAGCAAAAATTGCTAGTGCAAACTCCTGGACATTACCACTACAGCAGCACTCAGCGAACAACTTTTCCAAATACATCGGTTACACCAACGAAACCGACGCAAGACCACAACAGGTAGCACCAAAAACTACATCGAATGGCGAATAAGGTAAGCCTGGAGTTTGTGTGGAGCCGGATTAGCGTTGTCACTGACGTGTACGACAATAATGTATACTACCCACTGGACTACTGGTTATCCGGCACATGTTCGCTAGAGTCAGGTAATGAGATGATAATATCACGTTTAGAGATTACCTTAGTAATGAAGCAACAGACTCTATGTTTTGGAAACCGATTAAAAATTTTGAGGTTCAAGATCTTTTATTCACTTTGAATCTAAAGAAAACATGTGGTTACGATAATATTCCAGCTAGATTGCTAAAAGATATGATTTTTCTTTTTAGTTGCAAGACCATTGGCTTATTTTTTAAACCAATTATTCGTGCTGGGTCTTGTTCCAGAGGCGATGAAAGTAGCTAAAGTAACACCTATTTCTAAAAAGGGGGTGAGAGAAATACCAAGTAATTACCGACCAATCTAAGTGTTGCCTTTGTTGGCAAAGCTATGTGAGAAATTAATATATAAGAGGCTACTTGATTATCTTGAAATAAATAGTGTCTTGTATAACCACGAATATGATTTTCGTAAACACTACAGTACAAAGTTGTCGTTAATGAATTTAAATAATGATGTAAAATCGTTGGATAAGGGTAGGATCACCCTAGACGTATTCCCAGATTTTCAGAAAGCTTTTGATACGATAGACAGCACAATACTGGTTATTAGGGGACTGCTACTTCAGTAGTTTAAAGATTATCTTTATGAAAGATTTCAGTGTGTTAATTCTGATGGACATGGTTCATTACTACATTTAACATTTATTTCCTTTCGGGCACATTCAAAACCAATATTCCAGGAGTTAAAATTATTGAATGTGTATCAACTATATAAACTATATATCTATTTGTGTTTTATGCATCAATTATTGAATAATAGATTGCCACAGTCCCCTATTTAGTACGGCTCTTTCGTACAGCACAGATATGAGACAAGACAAAGAAAAAATATAAAAAATAAGTATGCCTAAAGTAAGGACAACGCAAGGTACATTTTCTGTGTCATACAGAGGCATATGCTTCTGGAATGATTTACCTTTGTTCCTACGGGGAAAAAAGCTTATTTTTTTGTTTTCGTAGTACTCTAACTGCACAAATGTTAATATAATAACTGTGTTCACCTTTTAACCAAGCTTCTTTCCTTTATTAGACATTAAACATAAACTCTATATTTGTAGACAGTTATCATATTTAACTGTATTATCTTATACGGAATGTCTATTTATATTCGTTTAGGCTTTGTACTAAACAAACACGTATTATGTGTAATATATACATGGCATAGTATGTAGCTTAAGTATAAACATGTACCTGTATTCAATAAGTCATATTTATTTGTATATACATTTATTTATCTATATATATATATATATGTACACACATTGTTATATGTTAAGATACTGTACTTTAAAGGTACCAGACATGATTAGCATTTTATGCTTTTTTATGGTCCCTATTATTCATTCCAGATATTTGTTAAAGATACTGTATTTGAACGTTTTGATAATAAAACTTCAACTCAAACTCACTGTATCCGGAATGGATTTAACTCCAAAGAAAGTGTTCCGTATGACAAAAAGGGGGCTTTCACTCTTCTGTATTAGATTAGTTGTGCAGTGTCTAAATTAACATAAGAAGTATTATATTTTGCCTATTTTCGTTGTTGCAAGGTTCTTCGAAATAAATTTGTTATTACTTGTATTTTTTCATTTTGAAAATTATGTAGATAGATTTATGATGTGCCTATGATTCGTCAGAGTTATCTATGTAGGTATTTTGTGTTGTACATCTATTTAATTTATAGCAAAACTTTATTACATATCTAGTACTAGTTAGATTGTTATAAATCCTGAATACGGAAGTGATAGTGAAAAGGATTTTTTTTTTTTACATTTTTACAATTTTTACCAATAAATACATGTAGTTTTTAAGAAAATTATGTTTTTTCAGATTTTGTTTGCTGATCTTTTGTTTATGATTCAGGTAATCAGGTATCTCTATTATGGCATGGGATGAACCTTGCTTCTTGTATGAAATATGATTTTCGTAGCAGTTATTTAGGATATAAATAATTCATTGTGTCAATCATTTAGCTCTGTTTAGTCTCATTTGACAACGCCCCATATCGTCAGAGTCAGCAGCCTAACATGTTAGCCTATGGACTTTTACAAAAACAAATCGTTAAAAAAAAAAAAAAAAAAAAAAAAAAAAAAAAAAAAAAAAAAATCATTTTTTGTTTGAACGAAAAGCACATCCACCCCGACGTACGTTGACACTAGCTCTTTCATTGGAACCCTCATGGCCTATTGACTTTTGAAAGTTCATCCACCGTAATTTGTGTAAAATAGGTCGCAAGCTCGCCGTTGCATATATAACGCATGTAACAGGTCAAACTTTGGACGCAATTTACCACGCGATTGTAAGATTATAGGTCAAGCACACGAAGGATAAAAAGCATGAATTATCAGATATCAGTTCTGCTTGGTTCACTATGTCCACTTCAGCCACCCCCCACCGTAATTTTTCCATTTAGTATGGGCAAACATTTTGCTGAGGTAAGCAAAAACATGAATATTTATGAACACCATGGACTATTCGATTATTAACAGAGGGGTGCAATTGTGCACCACATCAAATTCCCCTACTTTCAGTCAAGTATTTCATTTTATTATGTAGTTTGGTAGGTTCATTTTACTAACTGTTTAATTTCAGATATCAATGAGCGAAAATGAGACAAACGGAGCAATATGGTATGTGCGTGTGTGTATGTGTGTGTTCATTCACACACATGAAAAAGAGAGAGAGAGAGACGGGGGGGGGATAACATTTGTAATTTAAACGTTTCGAATTCGACAATTCATCGTCATTTGCACTAAATTATAATAGGATTTGGGAAAGGGATGTCCATATATAATCATAAGGAGCTACGTTCGTTTAATTCCCCCTTTTAGTGGCAAATACCTATTATTCAATAGATTATGACCAAGCTTACATAATTATGAATGTGAATTATGTGGGATATCGCAAAACTAATAGCGAGAGAGAAAAATATATAAATCAAACTGGACACTGTGGGAGAGAGAGAGAGATAGAGAGAGAGGGGTGATATGAAGAGATATATTTATACACACATATATATATATATATATATAAAGAGAGAGAGAGAGAGAGTAGACAATACCAGACTCTGGTTACAACGGCCTGTTTTTGTATCGGTTTCAACATTTTAGAATTATTTTTTAGCGTTCCATATTACGAATTAACCGAATAAACCGACTCCGTTCGATAGCTTGTACATACATATATAACGCGTATATATAGGCAGACAGAACGGGAAACGCATACACAAACGGCTGAACTCATGTGCCGTCTGACAACATATACAAGCAGTACATTTACATGTACATCAATATAATACTTCGTATAGGTCGTGCATCAAAATGGCGCTGAAGGTATGGAATAGTGTCCTAAGATCAGGGCTTCTCTTCGTACTCTGCACATATACACGTAAGTGGTATGAACGTAGATAACATGATGGGGGCAGGGGTTAAGAGCTTTCGCCTGGACATTGGAGAGAAATGTGCACCAAATAGCATATAATTATAACCGCGAATATTAGGATGCCTTCATTATACCTTTGAGAGATGCATGAAAACCTGCTTGCAAAATATAATTTCACTGCTTACATAATCTGTTCAGACACGCAACGTGTGAGTAGACATGTAACTTTGGTTTCGTTTGAAGTTGCCAAAGAAGCCCAAACCAGGTTATTGTTGATGTTAGAACTCAAAACGATTGGAAGGGGCAAAGATTACCTCCTTACTCCTTAGGAGAATGTGGAAAAGAATCGTTCTATATTAAAGGTAATACAACGTTTTGGTATGGGGTCATGAATTCGGTTCAAATGAACATATTCGAAACATATGCAATCCTAAAATATTTAGTGATCGTTGTCGCAGTTGAAATCGAGTCTAAAGTTTTGAAATTGTAAATAATAAACTCTTTATGTTGTATAGCTCCCCCTCAAGGTCAAGATATTCATTATGCTATAAAACAATGATTTTTGACTTAAATCGACCGAAAGCTTTATTATTGAAAAATTAACACAAATACATTCATGTCTGTTAAATATTACCATGACATGCATTATGTCGAATGTCGCATCAAGATGCAGTCCTACATGTACGTCAAGCAAATAGGGTCTCGTGTACTTTGATACGTCATTGTGATTTGGGTGGATAGTACACTGTCGGTCATATAGTTGGAATATTTTTGTTTTACCCCACTTTATGGAATTATTTTAAAAATAATTAAAAAATAATAGATCTAAATAATACTATACATTCTCAGGTTTTATTGAGTAATAGTTTGCCAATGTGTGTTTTGCGTGACTGCTAAAGCATGTGTATGCTACTATGCTGATCAAATAGGGGACCTACGCCCTTAAGTCATAAATGACAGTAATGAGGATTAATGCCCCACAAAAGGACACTAATATAGCACATCGACACGGTTTTGATCATGGGGTCTCACAGTTACGAGGCCATTGCTTTGTCAATGAACCATGACTGTACGCAGCGGGGGCTAGGGTAGGGGCAGATTCCATATATAAATTAAAAAACAGAAAAAAGCAATAAATTTTCAATAATTTATTGCATTTTACCCCGGTCCCCAACATAAACAAATTCTCTGGACGGACATGCATTATGGCTCAAGGCATGGGCACACATAGGATTTGTTTATGTTGGGAATCGGGGTAAAATGCAATAAATTATTGAAAATTTATTGCATTTTCTTTGTTTTTTTAATTTATGGAAACTGCCCCCTACCCTAGCCCCCGCTGCTTACAGTCATGGTTCAGTGAAAAAGCGATGGTCTCCTAACGGTGAGGCCCCAGGATCAAACCCGTGTCGATGTGCTTTATTAGTTTTCCTTTGTGTTGCATTACTCCTCATTACTGTCATTTATGACTTAAGGGCGTAGGTCCCCTATTTGATAGGCAAAGTAGCATGACATGCTTTAGCAGTCACACAAAACACACATTGGCAAATATTATTCAATAAAATCTGAGAAGGTATACTATTACCTAGATCTATTATTTTAAAATTATTTTTAAAATAATTCCATGAATTGGGGTAAAACAAAAATATTCGAACTATATGAGCGACAGTGTATAAAGACATCAAACGCAGGCATTTGCAAGAAGTTTGCTACACAAAATGCAGCCGGACAATTATAAGTGTAATACTTAAGGTATTTTTGACGGAAATAGTGTAATACATGTCACATCATTGCCCCAATAAAAAAAATCACGTGAAAATCACGTCAATATCAAGGTATCGACTTGAGGAGAGTTACGTTCTTCAAACACCGGACATTTACGTAAATGTGTTAATACGTTTGTTGCACTAGGTCACTTAAAACACACGTACACTAAATCACGCAATTGTCACTGCAATATCACCATTATATAACGTGATTATCCCTACCTTGGAGACCATGGTTTGGAAACCTAATACTCCCGTGTTTTTTTGGTTATGAAATTACATCTTCATAAACGAAATTATCGCGTCACAAAAACACGTGAAGCGTTAGTGTTTGTTTTAGTCAAAATATGTGCGTGAAATTCACGTGAATATTACGTTGAAGAGGAAATATATTACTGTAACCCGCGTTCAACCCGATAATTACGCAAATGTTACACCATAAATAAACCAAAATAATGACGTTCTCATCCCGTTTCTGAACATCGTGTTTTGGATCTTCCATAATTACGTCCAGGCGCGCCGGAAGCAGTTTGGGATTAGAGGGGGGGGGGGGGGGGGGGGTGGTTGCAAACATCCCAGAGGAGAAAGTTAGTTGCAACTAGTCCAGTTGATGAACCAGTTAATGCCAACTGGTAACCCCAGAAATTGAAATGGGCTAAATGATCCAGTTGATCCAGACCAGTTATAATTCAACTGGTCTAGCTGAGCCATTAGAACAATTTGGTAAAACTTCCAACCAGTTGAACAGCAACAACACTTCAATACTGGTACGTCTGTATTTCCAATGTAAAGGCATTGGTAATAAGTAGACTTACATAATTAATTAATCGAATTTTTTTCATATACTTGTATTTTATTGAAATTATTTTAGTTCTAGTTAATGTTTTCCTTATTCATGTTTAATTAAATGTAATTTATACGAAGTAGCGAAATGTCCTAATAACTGGTAATTTATATTTGTAGTATTTTCGAAATGAATTGCATATAACTAAATCATCAGTAATTAAGAAATATGCTCTAAATTCAGATAAACTGATTAAAAAACATAGATCTGCACGCACCCCATATTCAATATGCAAATTAATTTGTGTCAGCTGGTTCAACTGGAAACATGCCAACAGTCAGCCAGCAGTCATCACCTGGTGCAACTGGAAATATGCACACAGACCGGTTATCAACTGGTGCAATGTAAAGATGCGAACAATCAGTTATCAACTGGTGAAAATAGAAATATGCCAACAGACACGGGATTATCACCACGGAACTTAAATGGTAACTGTGAAACCATCAAGACACCCAAGAATAACTCATTTTTCACACCTGGAAATCACGGAATACCCAGCTTAGATTAATAATCCGTTTGAGTCACGAGATCATCACCGCGGAACTGCTGGCAACTTTGACTACCATTTACATAGGTGTTTTAAGACACCTAATAATTTCTAATTTTTCACACCTAAATATCACGAATTCACAGCTTAGATTAGTAATCAGTTTTAGCTACGTGATCATCACCAATAAAGTTATGGTAACTTTGAAACCATTTAAAAGGGTGTTTTAAGACACCTAATAATTACTAATTTTTCACACCTAAAAGTCACTTATGCCCAACTTAGATTAATAATCCGTTTGAGTCACGAGATCATCACCGCGGAACTGCTGGCAACTTTGACTACCATTTAAATAGGTGTTTTAAGACACCTAATAATTACAAATTTTTCACACCTAAATATCACGGATTCACAGCTTAGATTAGTTATCAGTTTTAGCTACGTGATCATAACCAAGAAAGTTATGGTAACTTTGAAACCATTTAAAGAGGTGTGTAAGACACCTCAGAGTTACTAATTTAATATAACCAGTGATTCACGGACAGAACAATAAGACGATTAGCCGGTGTAAGTAACGTGATTATTACCATCAACCTTGGATAACCTGTGAAACCAATCGATTAAGGTGCTTACAAGACCAAATAATTACTTATTTATCACCACCATCGGTTAACGGACAAAAAACTCGTTGCTTGGTCAAGTGGTTATTTGGTCATAAACACGTGATTTACAGAGGTAAGTGGAATCACGTTACTCCAGTCGCGTGATAAATTGGTGGTTTTTAGGTTAGATGAAAACGTGAACAGGAGTACCTTTTTTGTTTAAATGAAAGCACGTGTCGATAACGTTTAAATTTAGTTCAAAAGGCACCATACTTTAAAATCACTTAAAATACACTCCCAAAAGAGGTTACTTTTTAGTGTTTTGTTTATTGGGTGTTGATTCTGTCAACCCAATTAAAATTGAATTAAAAGTATGTTTTTCAATACAAACATTTAACCCCCCCCCCAAACAAAAGGAGATATTCCTGATAACCTAATTTAAAATTATCATGTCGTATTACTGTATAGACCTTAACAAAAATTGATATTATCATTATTGATTTGTTATCACTGTTATCCTTGGGTCTCTCCTCTAGCTATAGCTGATTGGGGTGTTATATTCAACACGACAGCAACGAACTTCGTCAAATTAACAAGAGGGAAATTTCAATATGTCATTGTCTACCCCAAAGACAAGATGTTCAGATTACGTAATACACCGTTTGTAATAAAAAAAAAAAATCACATTTCTACAGGTGATTTTTTTGTTGTTGTTGTAATCGTGTCGTTAGTAGTATTCATCATTATTTCTATTTGTTTATTTGTTCGTTTCACAATAGAAAGTACATGATTAAATAGTAAATTACAATGTTTGGAATGATTCTTCCCCATCAACGATTAATTTTTATTCCCCGGAGTTCTAAACACTATGAACATGACGGACAAAGAAAGAGGACACAATATACAGTTCCTCATTCTACCCTCAACAATTGCTGTGGCAGACAAAGGAACATCCCTTCACTGCTATTATTTAAAAATGTGTAGAACAGGTGTCACATGCATATCAAATGCATGTGACATGCATCGTCAAAATCGTCAAAATGCAATGAATTGGCTCTATATACCATTCCAGACATTTAAGTATTGACATGCATGAAAAAAGTCTGTCTTATTTTCAAGGAAAAACGGTTGGGAAAATTCAAAAATGGTTTGGAGAATTTACGGTTAGAGGTTGTTGCACAGTGACGCCTTAAAAAAAAATCATAAATATCTTTGTGGTTTGAGAATTTTCTCAGGATTTTTTTGCCTGTTAGAGGGTTAGTACAGTAAAAGCAAAAATTACAAAGTTTTTTCATCTACCTTCAACAATGTTACCGAGTCACTTAAAGGTAATTTCTCGAAAGTCTTTGCGACGGTGTTCATTGAATTCTTTCATTTTTCCCTCGATCTGAATCGAAGTTATTGCTGGTAGTAGGGATTCCATTCGCCTCCACGGGGGAGCTTCGGATAAGGAGGGACTCGTGCAGGTCAACGTCAGAGGTGTTTGGAAGGCCATCTGCAGAACCGAGTGGGACGCACTGGATGCTCTGGTGGTCTGCAGAGAACTGGGATTTGATGATGGATATGCCCAGGTGTGGAACGAAGGCCTTCAAAGACAGAGTTATCTTCTCACAGTCACGCCAACACCACCGCCGCCTTTCTCTATCGAGGCAGAGAGGTCCCTGATCGAGGGAAACGAATTCGCCTGCAACGGCACCGAAAATTCTTTGTTATCCTGCAAATACAACAAGACGACTTATTATTGTCCAGGCCACGCCGGAGTCGCATGTGGTAGGTATGATTTTCAGATGTCGTGGTTAATATAGTAATTATATAACTGTTTGTAGAGGTGTCGTTGCATAGTTGATACAAGTTACGGAGTTCGAATGCCCGTCGTAGCTATTCCTTGACAATATATAGATCCACAATTGCCACACTCTACCAGGTGAGGTAGCCTAAATGGGCACTTAGGCCGGTGCCAGGTAAAAATGTCAGAGGTAAAAATGTCAAAGGAAAAAATGTCAGAGGTAAAAATGTCAGAGGTAAAAATATCAGAGGTACAAGCAAAAAGTGCCGTCATAAGTACCGTCATAATATCTCAGCACTTTTATCACATAGAATGTCGAGACGTACAGCTACTGCATAGGCTAGTCTATTATATTCATTTCTTCCATAATGTAAATTTTATAAATGGCTGTGTGTTGTATTTCGTACATGTCCTGAGGATAATACAATGTGGAAAATAGATTTTTGAAATTTATTTTTTTTTGTGATCAGGCTTGCATATTTATTATGTATGAATGTCTAACATTTTTTAATATTTTTAATTGGTTGATGTGTTAATGTTTGTGACTCGGACCGGTTTAGCCGGTGGCAGCCTACAACTAGCTAGCCCGTGTAACGTTCCAGAGACGAACAAAGTCCAAACGAAGAAATGAAAGTTCTCGACAAAAGTCAAGTGTTAAAGTGAGTAGTGCATTTAGTACAAATAATTACATATAATCACGAGGAATCACGAAAAGTTACATATATAGGCTGGGCGCCCCGAACTCTGCTAAAGCTTTAGCACCTCATGGCGGCAAAGGAAGTGGAGTAAGAATGAGAAAAAACAAGCAGTCGCCCGAAAAGTGAAAACTCGCTCCGAAAACTAAAAACCCGCTGCAAAAAGTAAAAGACCGTCTCGATTCAGAAGCTCATCCCCATTTTAAACCCTCCGACATGTGTGACCCCTTATAAGGGCGTGTCACTACGACGCATTTCGTCAAAATAATCCACTCCTCTGTGGCGAACGCAATCATTCTACTCCGAGCTTGGGGACCGTTGTCGTAGAGGAGGAACTGCGTTGGGTTGGGCCCATCCGTCATCGTTAGTTCGGGATCCATGTTCAATTCTGCTAGAGTTGCAGGCTCCATAACGGTGCGGCTTGGCAGATTTCCCTGTACTTCTCTAGGCAGATTTCTCACCGTATCCGTATATATTTGTTTGGGCGTGTCGTTGGTGGTCGAGGTCCGTGCCTTCATTTGCTGCCGCGCTTTTGCTATCTCCGCTCCTACTAGGTCAACGTCATGGTTGTGTGGGTTGGCTGTGCGCGGTTGGGCCCGATTGAGATCTCTTTTTAAGGTTCCGTTGCACCCACGTGTACGCCTCACACACTTCCAAAGAATGGACACCTTGCCCTCAAATACTTTTGTGTACATATGCCCCTCATTATATGACCTTCATTCCACCCTTATTTAATGCAATTACCTCCATCGCATGTCGTTTGTCCTTTTTGATATTTATACGTTCATGTCGAGGGAATAATTGATGCCCATTGCTGTTCTCCCAGACTATTTATACCTCAATAGTAATCCACTATCAACTTTTTTGCACATCATTATATAAATAACGATGTAACTTAAACCGAAACTCTGCAAAGCGCGCGCTTCTCTGGAATGTGATGGTGCGGTTGGCATTTAAAGATAAAGTTGAGTTCTGGTCTTGCGATTGCATTGTGAAAGAAACGGTGTGGAAGCAATCAGAAAAGGTTGCTCATCTAGCATAAACATGTAAGTATTGGTGTGGAGTCATCAAAATGATAAAAACTTTGGCCCAGTCTTGGTAAAGTCTTGGTAAAGTAAAGTCATATCTGAGATATGAAGTCATTTGAAATAGATTTTCAGGGAATAACTTTTTTCTTTGATGTTCTTCCACACTTGCATAATAAGAATGATAAACGCTCACAAATTATTGTTCACCTTTAACTCAACCTTCTCTTTAATTGATGTACCAAGGGCGGCTTTCTGCTTTGTATCGGATTAACAAAGCTGCTTATTGATTTTCTCCCAGACTATTTTATACTGCAATAGTAATCGACAATATTTTACTGCAACGCGCGCACTTCGGGAATGTGATGGGTTAGCATTGATAACATGGCTTTCTGCTTTGTTTCAGAGTATCAAAATACCAAGCCCACAAGAAAGTGGAATTGTCGGAAATATGCATTTATTGGAAATTACATATAATATTAGCCATTGCCACGCAGTTAAAATGTCCAACAATCTTCAAAAATGAAGGAGAAGTGGGGGGGGGGGGGGGGGGGGGGGGGGGAAGGTTCATAGATATCTGATCCTATTTTGGGGGCTGTACTGATTTTTCTTTTTATTTAATAATTACACCATGCATGGAGCGACAACTCAGCCTATAAAACATGGCCAAACTTCTCGATTTTAGAAATCTTTTTCCCCAGAAGTTTGCTCAGTGTACCAGTACCATTTGCTTTTACAAAAGCATAATATACCGGTATATAAATATTGAATAAGGCAGACTAATAGGACATGCATAATTGCTACTCCGAGTTTCACGCCTTGCAAGCGATCATCAGACAACTGATAGCATTCTTACATGATTCCTCTGCAACCTTGGTACAAATACGCTCAAAATAAGACTTAACTAATACAATACCTGAATACAATATAATAAAAATTACTCATGAGTAATTCTAATTGAATTTTATTAGTTAAGTCTTATTTTAGGGGTATTTGCACCAAGGTTGTAGGATAATCATGTTTAAAAATGCTATCAATTGCCTGATGATTGCTTGCAAGGCGCGAAACTCGGAGTAGAAACCATGTCCCATTAGTCTGCCTGCTCTGCCTAGGCATTGACCACTGTTCGGAAGGATTTATTAGCAAAGCATAATATAAGAGGAAGGGGGAGAGCAGCCGGGTCACCGTGCCCCAGAAGAAGAATACCCCCCCCCCTCGTCTTCCTTCGGCAATAATCGGGCAAAAAAGTCACCATTCGGGGTCAAAAGGTAAATAAATTTAAACTGGGAAAGTGGAAAACAAAGCAGCGGTGAAATAACAACTGCAGAATATCCCTCGCTGTTCTTTTTCGATAAGCCTAATATATAACCCGGGTGTAACCATAACAAACTTGCCACATGATTTTGTTTTTATTTTTTTCCTCTGACATTTTTACCTCTGACATTTTTACCTCTGACATTTTTACCTCTGACATTTTTTCTCTGACATTTTTACCTCTGACATTTTTACCTCTGACATTTTTACCTCTGACATTTTTACCTCTGACATTTTTACCTCTGACATTTTTACCTCTGACATATTTTCCTCTGACATTTTTACCTCTGACATTTTTACCTCTGACATTTTTACACCGAGCCCCTTGGCCATGAGCGCTCTCATGGAAGCAGTGCTTAAGCCGGTGTTATAATCATGAAGTGCCAGGAATTGAATGGCACTGCCAGACATGTGCGCTATACAGGAACCCACTATTATCAAGGTACAAGTTCGAATTATTAATTATGAAAAAAAAGAAATGTCGAATATGTGAGGCATGCATATGTTCGTGGTTTCATATCTCTACTCCGTCAAAGCAGCCCATGATCCGATAAATAGTTAAAGTGGAAGGGAAGCGATATTACGGCAAATGTAGCCCACCTCCCTTGACGCATATTTCGAAGTCCTCTCCTAGTTCTGCACAGAAGTTTCATGTATTTCTATCTTGTTCGTTATTGACGAAGGGGAAGATTTGTTTTGTACATAGTTTATGTAAAACATATTATGTGCAATTGTTATATCTGGGGCGGATATATGATTGGACATTTTTGAGAGAAAAATGATAAACATTTTTCTTAAAGGTACTATGTCCCATTTGCAGGCCAAACAAATGAAAAGGTTAAATTTCAACGGCATTTGAAAGATAATACTAATTTAGAACTTCCCTCAATAGTGTCTGACAGTGAAGTCTAGCAAGTAAACGGGTTTCATTGCACAATTGTATAAGGACACTGCTAACGTTTACATTTCACAACTAGGACATACATGACAAAGTCATAATTCCTGCAAAGTTCTACAGAATTTGATGTTGGCTGCAAAAGGGACACAGTATCTTTAAGGTGATGATTGGTACATTTATGTTACATTCGACGTGTGTCATAGCTAGAAACCTTCCCACTCACTATTGTCCATAAGTGCCCGCTTATTCCAACTACTCGCACAATTGGCTTTAGAGAGATCCGGTAACTTTGTCTTAGATCCTTTAAAAACACACATTTTAATACACTTTCGCTCATATAGTTGGAATATTTTTGTTTTACCCCAATTTATGGAATTATTTTAAAAATAATTTTAAAATAATAGATCTGGATAATAGTATACATTCTCAGATTTTATTGAATAATAATTTGACAATGTGTGTTTTGCGTGGCTGCCAAAGCATGTGTATGATACTATACTTATCAACTAGGGGACCTACGCCCTTAAGTCATGAATGACAGTAATGAAGATTAATGCCCCACAAAGGGCACTAAAATAGCACATCGACACGGTTTTGATCCTTGGGCCGTTTTGGTGGCCTTTCTTTCGCCCTACCTATCTCCACTATTACAGAAGCTACCCCTTATAAGAAAGTATCATGGTAACCATGTTTTTTTGTCCAAATTACCATCCACCATGGTAACCACGGTAACCATGGTAATCATAGTATCAAACAATGATAAACATAAGGTCATCAAACAATGAATTTGATACCATGGTTACCATGGTACTTTTTTAATACTTCTTACACGTGCGTCATTGAACGCACATCGTTGTGACACGATTTCATATCTAATGTTTAGCTTGATTTTGTTTATACCCGATGTCTACGAAATAGCCCAATAATTCACCATCTTCTCTTACATTTTCTCAATATGATTAAATAAAGGTATCACCACCAAAGAATTCGGTATATTGATGGATGATTTCATACAGTCCAGGCGTTCCAGTCGTCTTCAACGCTACACTGTCCCCACATTTTCGGGGACATCGACTGGCCGGGTGTTGTCTCCGGTTAGCTATTACTCTAGGTATAACGCCGACAGAGTTCAAATTACAGGCGATATATGTAACATGGACAAGAGAGCGGCAATGTTGATATGTGACTATCAAGGGTATCACAAGGGTGGCAAGGTAGATTATCGACATGAAGTTGTTTATTTGTTTCGTTAAACAATTTATGTATGTATGTATTATCTAATTCATTTTCAATTTCATTATTCATTTATTTCTTTTAAAAAAATAATTTTTCTATCATTAATTTATTAATTCGTTTATTACTTCATTTGTTTAATTTTCTTTTCATGTTTTATTAAGTAAAATACATTAGTCGTAATATATATTTAATACAATTATAATAATTATAATAACATACCAGATAAAAATGTCTTCTCTAACCATTATAGCCATGACAAAAGATGATGTATTCAGCGGTTGCTTATACAGAAATTGATTATTTAAACGAGGATTCTCCATGGGTTAAATTACTCTTTGTCACCAAAGTAGTGTTGTTGTTGTGTTTTTTAAGGGGGGGGGGGTGGGCTCCACCATTTGCACAATACCAATCAAAGTATTCAAGCATAATTGAGTGAAATGATGCATTTGCGGGTTTTTTAGAAATGACCTATATGGATTATGGAAGTATTAGGAAGTCAAGGAACTGTTAGGTTTGATTGTAGTCTTTAATACCCTTCTTTATTAATGTCCTTTCCCCCTCCATTTTATAGGTAATCCAATTGCCATCCATACCCAACATACCTAAGCTGATTCACACATTAACTTGTATTGACGCAACATTCCTTCCGAGTTGTGACGTGGTATATACAAAGGACGGAGTGTGTCCTGCCGGTGTTCAATACAATAGCGTCGAATGTTGTGAGTATAGGAACAGGCATTTAAGTTGTTTTTATTATGGTAGAGCTCGTTATACCCTAAATGCAATATTTGTCATATTGGAGCACTGAGACAAGTCACCAAAGAAACATAAACACTCACACATCCGCACGCACACATTAATAGGTTGTTCCTTTAAAGGGAGGCTTTACTACTTAAGCCAGAAGGGATTAGACCACACAGCGAGCCAGCGAGGTAACTGTGACAGGTGGCTATCTCATTAACTCAGCTCTCATTTAACATAAGAAAAAGAGGATCACGGGGGACCAACAGGCACCGATTGGGGAAGTTTTCTATATAGAGGGAGCAAGTAGCTACAAGTAGGACAGTGTGCCTTTAATAACATGATGCTTAAAGCTGCCAATTAGAATAACAACTGAAGTAGCAAAAACATAGACAATTAAGAAAACAATAAAAAACGATACATAAGAAAACAATTGTTGTATCTTGATATGAATGAAAAGTTCTAATACAGTGCACTCCTCTTTGTCATATCTCTGCTATTGGCCGTTTAGCTGTATTAAACACAAAACGCTCTTTGTCAGATTTATCCTTATACGTGTAATTTTTTGTCATGCATTCTGTTGGTAACTTTACTATTTCCGTGGTCCTAGTTAGACAACAATAATTTGATCGTGTTATTTCATTCTCTTTACACCTGCAACAGTCTGAATCCTAATATTTTCGTGCCAATGATGCAAAATAGCCAAATCTTGATATTTCGTGCTACTGATTACGATGACTCGTATGCCGCAATTACAATAACGTATACAATGCATTGTACTCTTAGAAATGCTAATTAAAAATATGCTTAGATGGTGATGTGTCTACACAACTATAGGCATGTTTTGCTACCGCAATTCGGCTAATATTTAGCCTATTATGAAGTAATTCTTCCCTTTTTCACACTAACCGGTCATTATATTACCCAATTTGGCTTAAGGATATAGTCCTACCAGAATAAGGTTGATGCTGGACAACTCTTTTTTACCCAATATATTTGATTTGATGTTATATGTAAAGAGTTGCGAACTATAACGAAACATGTACATCTTAATGATTCTAAGCTGTAGAGTTGCACTGGGTCTTCTGCAGTTACAAACAAAGCGTCAGGTCTTTGACACGCCGTTGATAGCAAAATGAAAAGCTCTCTAAAGGCTCGTTCAGATATGCAACTCGGTTCGAATGTGCGGTATGTCAGAACATTGTATTCTTCTTTTTTTTCTCCTTAAGACACAAAGTTGCAACCATCTGTCTTCGGGTCTCTGGCTTTCCTCGGTGTGGCTTCTATTCTTATCCTCATTGCTGGTGCGTTTGGCGTGTCTAGGATTTTGCGGAAACCAAAAACTTTATCAGTTCCTCACCCCGAATGCCATGAACACTCCTGATGAATGATACGAAGCTGTTTACTCCTACGAACCGAAGTGTTTGTGTCTCATTTTCAATAAAGCAAACATTGCTAGTGCAAACTCCTGGACATTACCACTACAGCAGCACTCAGCGAACAACTTTTCCTAATACATCGGTTACACCAACGAAACCGACGCAAGACCACAACTGGTAGCACCAAAAACTACATCGAATGGCGAATAAGGTAAGCCTGGAGTTTTTGTGGAGTCGGATTGGCGTTGTCACTGTCGTATACGACAATAATGTATACTACCCACTGGACTACTGGTTATCCGGCACATGTTCGCTAGAGTCGGGGTAATAAGATGATAATAGCACATTTAGACATTACCTTAGTAATGAAGCAACAGACTCCATGTTTTGGAAACCGATTACAAATTTTGAGGTTTAAGATCTTTTATTCACTTTGAATCTAAAGAAAGCATGTGGTTACGATAATATTCCAGCTAGATTGCTAAAAGATATGATGCTGCTTATTTAGTTGCAAGACCATTGGCTTATATTTTTAACCAATTATTCGTGTTGGGTCTTGTTTCAGAGGCGATGAAAGTAGCTAAAGTAACACCTATTTTTAAAAAAAAAGTGGTGAGAGAAATACCAGGTAATTACCGACCAATCTAAGTGTTGTCTTCGTTGGCAAAAGTATGTGAGAAGTTAATAAATAAGAGGCTACTTGATTATCTTGAAATGAATAGTGTCTTGTATAACAACAAATATGGTTTTCGTAAACAATAGTACAAAGTTGGCGTTAATTAATTTAGTTAATGATATAAAACCTTTGGATAAGGGTAGTATAACCGTAGGCGTATTCCTAGATTTTCAGAAAGCTTTTGATACGATAGACCACACAATACTGGTATTAGTAGTTGACTGCCACATGAGTAGTTTAAAGATTATCTTTATGAAAGATTTCAGTTTGTCAATTATGATAGACATGGTTCATTACTACAGATGAAAGCGTGTGGTGTAAAATGAATAATCTTACAGTAAATTTGTTAAAAACTAACTATTTTAACCTGTAAGAGGAAGTATTGAAAATAGTCGACACAAAAATTCGTAGGAATCCATAAATAACAACACTTGACTTGGAAGTCTTATATTGAAAGAGTCAATAAGTGTATTAGAAAAAAGGTTGGTGTATTATATAGATTAAGACAGTTTGTACCTAGAAATATTTTATTGTTATTGTATAAAACATTATTTCAACCACATATTACAAATGGAATTGAAGTTTTGGGAAGCAGTTATGAAATTAATATGAAATATTTATTCTTAAGCCAAAGATGGCACTCAGAGCTTTAACATTTATTTCCTTTCGGGCACATTCAAAACCAATATTCCAGGAGTTAAAATTATTGATTGTGTATCAATTACATAAACTATATATCTATTTTCGTTGTTATGCATCAATTATTGAATAATAGATTGCCACAGTCCCCTATTTAGTACGGCTCTTTCATATAGCACAGATATGAGACACGACAAAAATAAAATAAAAAGCTAAGTATTCCTAAAGTAAGAACAACACAAGGTACATTTTCTGTGTCATACAGAGGCATTTGCTTCTGGAATGATTTACCTTTGTTCCTACGGGGAAAAAAGCTTCTTTGTTTTCGTAGTACTCTAACGGCACAAATGTTAATAGAATAACTGTGTTCACCTTTTAACCAAACTTCTTTCCTTTATTAGACAATAAACATATACTCTATATTTGTAGACAGTTATGATATTTCACTGTATTATATTATACAGAATGTCTATTTATATAAGTTTAGGCTTTGTACTAAACACACAAACATGTACATAGAATATTATGTAGCTTAAGTATAAACATGTACCTGTATTCAACAAGTCATATATATTTGTATATATATATATATATATATATATGTACACAAATTGTTAAATTTTAAGATACTCTACTTTAAAGGTGTTCCGCAGGGATCCATCCTGGGCCCATTAATATTTCTATTTATATCAATGATATTTGTAATGTATCTAAAACTTTAACCCTAATAAGGCCGGGGGGGGGGCATTATGGATTTTTCTGATTGTTCGAGAACGCATATGGATGGCGCCTCGCCGCTCGCTGACTTTTTTCTTAAGAGTCTTGCGCATCTTTAAAAAAAAAAAAAAAAAAATCGGACCTATAGTTACAAGGTCACGTGACCTTTTGTCTTTGCATGTCAGCCCGAAAATCGCTCATTTTTGTGATTTGTGTACAAAACATACGGGAATGTCATTTTTCCTAAAAATAGATCAAACATTGGTTATTGGGTCTTGTTTAAAATTTAGGTGGTTGTTTTGTGAGTCAAAATAGTTGAATTGTAGGAAGAAATAAAAAAAACAAAAAAACAATAACATAAATAAGTTAAAAAAACAATGAAATACATAAGAAATTATCAAAACAAGAGATAACATAAGGAATAAGCTGGCTCTTCCAATTTTTTTGTCGTATTATTGTTCCAAATGGTCTAATGAATATATGTAGTGAAAAAGAATTTGATTTTATGACGTTATTTGCATAAATTACCATAAATATGCAAATGAGTGATTTTTTTTCAAAAAATTGAAATTATCATATTGTTCTGTACACTTCACTTGACATGCGTGCAAATTTTCGCGGAGATCGGCCCTTTCACGGCCGAGATCTTAGGGGGGGGGGGGCCATAATGCCCCCCCCCCCCCCGGCTGTAGTAAGACTTCAAATAGCCCGGCCTTATTAGGGTTAAATTATACCTTATTTCACAGATGATACGAGTGTTTTCTTGTCTCATCGCGAAATCAACACTCTTGAAGAGAAACTAAATTCGGAACTACCAAAGTTGACTTTATGGTTTAGAAGTAATGTGCTCTCTCTCAATGTTCTTAAAACAAATTATATTAATTTTAGAGGTAGAAAATCTAATGACAACCTTGCTCTTAATATTAAACTAGATGATACTTCTTTAGAGAGAAAGACATGTACGAAATTCCTTGGTGTCTATATCAATGAAAAACTTGACTGGAGCGACCATGTAAAACACATTGTTACTCCAATCTCCAGAAATATTGGCGTACTGTATAGAATAAAATGTTTTGTTTCTGATAGAATATTACTTATGCTATATAATAGTCTAATTTTACCACACATCTCTTATTGTAATATTTTGTGGGCAACATCCAAGTGTGTGACTAATAATATTCTTCTGTTACAAAAGAAAGCTGTACGCACATGTACCCGAGCTGGTTATCGTGACCATGCTACCCCACTATTTGTTAAACTGAAATGCTTAAAGATTGATGATATTAACTTCCTCCAAATTGCCATTTTTATTTTCCGTTTTGATATCAAATTATTACCTACGTCATTATCTTCAATGTTCCAACCTAATAACACGGTTCATTCGTATTCAACAAGACAGTCATCGAATTTACATGTGGTCAATCCTCACACTACATTAGCCCAGAAATCAATCAGACACAGAGGTCCAGATGTATGGAATTCTTTACCTAATGATATTCGAAATATAAAATCAACAAACTCCTTTAAAAGAGCACTCAAATGTATTATCATTTCACAGATGTAAGATATTACTTACATTATAATCTATTTATCAGTTCTAATTAAATCTAACATAATTTTGTTACTAGGCTTAACGAAATTTAATTAAAAAAAACAAAAAAACTTTGTAACTAGTGTAAATAGTTCACTACAAAACTTTAGGAATTTTATTTGTCATATATTATATATTTGAAAGGTGTTGTAAAGATTCAAGCTCTATTTGCTTATGTTTCATCACCTTTGTGTGTTCATTCTTCAAACTGTATATAAGTTGCAACTTGTCTTTGATAAAGCAATGTTATATTCTTTTTCACGTGAAGTTAATTCAAATGTATTGTAAAATTGAAAATGATTTGTCATCTTATATTAATTTTTCATGTGATGTTAACTTCAATGAATTGTGAAATTGTGAACATGCATGCATAAATAAATAAATAAATAAAAAAGGTAACGGACATGATAAGCATTTTATGCTATTTTCTGGGCCCTATTATTCTTCCGGTATATTTTGTGTGTGTGTGCAGAATCACACTTTCAGAACACCTGACAAAACATTTATAAGGCAATTACTTTTTCAAAATAATTTACCAAATGTAATCACTTCATGTAATGTTAAATATGTGTTCAGTACTATATCTGACAGCATAAGTCTCATTTGATATATGTATCCATTGTTTGTTAACGAAACCTGAGAATAGCTTTATATATAAGCCTTGTACTATATATTATACATTATAATATACATTATCTTTCTTTTCATGCAATGAATGTTGCCATTCCAATTGTAATTGTGAATTTTTGTAGAAATAACTTTTCTATTGTGTGCTTATTTGGATACATTTTTTAATTGATTTTAAATCTGATTTTGTAATGGCCGTGATTGCCATCTCATATGATAATAATAATGCACATTCTTTTGAAAGTATCACCAAACATAAGTTTAAGAGGGAAAAGGGGATTTGTAGGGATATTGGAAATTCATAGGGATATGAAAACTACATGCCTAATCTATATCTTCACGTCGATTTGCCGTATTTCACTTCAAATTGTCATGGGCGCACGGCCACAATTTTACCAGGAAGTGACGTCAATTGCCCGATAACTAACCTTTTGAGTTTCTAGATTTGCAAGGGAACGAAGTCTTTGAGCATAACCTTCGATACTTTTAATGTTGAAATTAAGTCTAAAACATGCCAAAATGAGGCTTGACAATTACCTTTTCACGTCCTCACTGATGAATTAGACAAATACCTATACAAATGAGGTGACCATTAATATGAAGGGGTTTCAAGACTTTAATACACAATATGTTTTTGTTTATTTTGACTCCAAATACAGTGCGAGTCAGAAAAATAGACATTTAAAATTTCCCACCAGCTATAATTCCAATAACAAACGATGCTTAATAGAATGAGAGAGAGAGAGAGAGAGAGATAGGCCTGTCGAGAAAGAGATCGAGATCGAGAGAGAAAGAGAAAGACAGAGAGTCCGACAGCGAGACAGGTAGAGAGAGAAAGAGAGAGAGAGAGAGGGGGGGGGGTGCGGGTATATACACGTAGAGAGAGAGAAGAAAAAAAAACAGGTTAATACAGAGAAAGAGAGAAAACGTAAAAGTGCATACTGCAGTTTATTCAACCATGAAACAGATATAGTAGGGTAGCAGTTTTCGCATGCAATAAATTAGAAATGTGATATACAAGCATGTATTGATCAAAGCGCAATAGACACAACTGAGGTGAAGGGCAGGTTTATTATTGTTGCAATGACGTTCTTCTATTTTACTGTTGTATGTGCAAAATATACTTGCAAATTGCACATGAACATAGAGTGTTTTCGATAGTATACACGCCATGTTGTATTCACATTGGTGGTGTTAATGGTGGTGGTGGTGGTAAGGATGATATGTACAGACGTGTAACATTGTTTTTTTCTACTTGGAATCGACCTTAAATTCCTTTGAAATACAGCGTGATTAAATCATGGCAGTATCAGCGTGGAGTCAAATGATCAACTTACATGTGTTGCACCTTCTAGTAATCGGCATGGGCACGAGTAAGTTTATTCACCATACGTTTGGCTCTTAATAACAAATGAAAGATACATTGTAAACGCAATCCGAAATAACATACTAATATGATTATAGTAATGATCGATATTGTAAAATATAGCAAAATGAATAAAACAAGCAATCGTAGATCACAGGCTATATACATTATGCTGTGCTAGAATACATATGTAAAGCTTACATTACTTTGATAGATCTATCATCTTTTTATCGAACTAAGCCAGCATATAATAAGTTCTGGTCAAACGACTGCAGTGGGAAAGCTTGCTATTTAGAAAGGTAGATTTGTAGTAAATAACAATTGTGTATATTGAGGTTCTTGATTCATCAATGTATTCAGAGATGCACCCATTCTTGCTCAAAATCACATAAACCTACAATTGAAAAACACTACACACAGGAATGGATATGTGGGACAGTACTGGACCTCACACACGTCGAGTGGCATGTCTTGAGCGTTTCCTCAAAACATGTTTGTTGGCTATTTTAAGTCATATTCCAAGCATAATGGACTTTGGAGAGCACGCAATCCTTTCCTCGGGGATTTTGTTATTCCACATGGGTCTTTATATATATATATTTTTTTGTTTTGTTTTAGTCTTTTCAGAACTCAACCCTCTCTTCAAGTCACCAATGCGTTCGAATCGTGCATAGCATAACATAACATAGTATAACATTTCACCCACTGCTCTGCGCATTTTAGGCCTCACAATAAATGAGGATAACAAATGATGCCTCAGATATTTCCTGTATAACTCTTTTGGGGAAAGAAATAGCCCATGCAAACATTGGTGAGAATGATGATAACAATTGAATACATGATAGGAAGAGGGGCCATTTCCTTTTAAAAGAGTTTTAATGAATTAATGAAGAAATAAACCTTTGTATTTGCAGAATCAAACTGTTTTCATCTTCATATATATATATATATAATAAATAATGTCTGCTTATTATAAAAGTTCCTGAAGATCAAAAATTCTGTCTATCAAACTTACTGCAAAGATATAATTTCTGTAAGCTGGTCCTGTTTTTAAGTATAATAAATAAGACAAAAAGATTTCAATTAAAAATGGATAACTTAACCCCCTCGTATCCTATATGAATTGATGTATAGACCTCCTATTTAAAGGGAATTTGGGAGTAATTTTTGCTCTTTTCGATTCCGTTCTTGTCATTTTAAATTTGAAGTAGTCACTGGCAGTTCAATCCGCTTGTATGGAGGATCTTCAGATAAAGAGGGCGCTGTCCAGGTCAACGTGGAAGGTGAATGGAGGAACATCTGCAATGACGGATGGGACGCAGTGGATGCTTTGGTCACCTGCAGACAGTTGGGGTTTACTGAAGGATATGCATTGATCTTCAACGGTGACTTGTATGATCCTGACATATCCTTGAACAAACCAGAGAGGGAGACTTTCCTCACCGTTGGGACCGACTTCGCTTGCAACGGAAGTGAGGAATCCCTCTTGACCTGCAACTACACAAAATATGGCGGATATTGTGGGCAATGGGCCGGAGCAGTTTGTGGTAGGATCGCATTTTGAAAATACGAATTTCAGCTGATGCGTGAACCGATAAATATGTGCATACATTTCATTTATACGTGTACTTTAATCAATATTACATACTGCAGGTCGTCCTGCTGGCATGGTATTTGAAAAAAATTAATGTATAATGCAATCATGAAGAGCCAGAATCCGATGTATGAACCGATAAATATGTGCATACATTTCATTTATACGTGTACTTTAATCAATATGACATACTGCAGGTCGTCCTGCTGGCATGGTATTTGAAAAAATTAATGTATAATGCAATCATGAAAAGCCAGAGTCCGATGTATGTCGCCCCTTGATGGCAAAATGCAAAATGAAGGGGCAACTTAAACATAACCAGGACGGGACATATGCGCCTATGATTATTTGCTATGCTACATTTCACTAACTTGATACATATCGTCTTGAGATTTAGGATTAATTTTGACCTAAATATTGATTACTTTTTAACTAGCATGATTTGCGAAATTCCATGAGAACATAATATGGTCGGTCATCCCGCTTCTCCGACTAGTTCACAAAGGCGTTCTGGGCCCAATTCCTCGTGGCGCCATAAGTCTTAATTCGTATAGAAATCCAGTAGAAATACTAATTTATTCTATACAACATGTTTTAAGAGATTAGTTCGTATATAAATCCCATATAAATAATTGTTAATTTTATACATATTTCAATGGGATGTCCCAGAATTTAGATGACGGTTTTGCGGAAGTACCCCCACCTCCACCACAGGCCTTGATCACGTTCAGTCCGCTGTTAATGTCGATGCTTTACGAAATATTTCTTACCCTTCTTCCCTTGATTTATTTCTTTCTAGACATCACTCCACAACAATTCTACGAACTGATCACCCACATCGGCCAGTACAAAACTCTTTTATACACTATCGCTCCCAATGGCCTGGTGCTGGCCGTACAGCGACAACAGACTCGTACCCGTGTTTTGGGGGGCGTTTGCAACATGGACGACCGCACGGCTTCGATGATATGCGACGAATATGGATACCATTACGGCGGCAAGGTAAAGTGTTTGTTTTTCGATCACCACCGTGGGTTTTTAGAAATGTGTTAGGACGATTTTTTGCCCTTAATAATAATTATTATATTCCGCTTTTATATAGCGCTTAATACATCTAACAATGTCTCTATAAAGCGCTTTACAGGTATACTATTACCACGGTCATTGGATTCAATACTTGCCTGCACACACTGTGTGCACAATCTCCACTCCCTGGGGAGTATTCCAGCCAGGCGTTACTTAACGCTAAAAAACTGTTTGACCAACAATGACGGTCGAATCCTACAGTGTACCCTTCTCAAGTGAAACAAACTTTGAACCTTATCTCCACCATTTGTCGAAACCCTGGACTGTCATATTATTTGCGGTATATTATACATTGTGACTCTGGGTCCCCCATACTTATTCTTTAGCTTGAAACAAACAAAATAATAGTGTTTCTCTTTCATCATTTGATGATACAGGCTATATTGTTTAATAGTTATTACGATGTTATGATACGTGACATTTGTACAGTACTTGTGCTTCATTTGTATTATGTTTTGAACTTATTATGTTAAAATTGTTTGAGAAGTGTGGCAATAAATAAATAAACCTGAAACTTGAAAATTGAATTGACTGTGGTGGTCACCTGTTTTTTCTATTTGCCCATTGAAGCCGATGAAAGTTAAAGATGGGAAATATAATTGATTTGATTTGATTTGATTTGATTTATTTTCCACTCAAATATCCACAAATTAAATGACATATATAAACCATACAGTAATGCAATGTATAATAGAACAAATGAATTATACAAGTAACGAAATAATGACAAGTATATTCGTAATCAAATAAGTTTACAAAGTACATTTATGTTTGAGAATTAGACAACAGATTTTAAATTGCTTGATTTAATTGAGAGGGGAAAAAAGGGAATCTCAGAAAAGCTAGGCTTGTTGAGCGAGATTCCCAGTATAAATTAAATTATGGACCATCAACAACGTGCATCAAATTCTGCACATTGCCGCTCCCAGAGAGACCAGATAGTGTATTATCGAATTTACATACCTCAGCCGTAATATCAGTATTCGTGACATATATTTTTATGTAAGGTAGAACATTAGGGCACGTCGGATATAATACCTGCAAATGGGCAGATAAAGGTTATTTGTACGAAACTGCAAAATCCATCGGGATAACTGCTGTTCACAAAACTTATTCAATCGTTATGCATGGGCTGTAAATTCTGTGATACCGTCACAAGTGGAAGCTTTTATTTTCAAGAAGGCAAACGAAAGGTATTCAGGTAGTATCTCAATCCATTAGGCATTGATTACTCTAAAATGTATAAAGTTAGCCGTCTCCATGTAAAACAGATCTGTGTATATTTAGGGTGCATGTGTACAAATGCTTTCATCGAAGTGGCTTATACATATTAACATTTCAAATGTTTTTGTTCAAGCAAATTTAACATCATATTCCTATCAAATGCCTTCATTTTTCACTCCCTTTCATTCATTATATCTACCATATTTGTTTCATGTGTTGTCTTTTGCCTCATTGTCTTATGCGACAAAGAATCTCATCTTGTTTGCTTACTTCAGTTTTGCTTTTTAATTTTGCGACATTCCAATTTTATTCTTTATCTTTTAGCCAACAAACTTGCCTGTTCTAGAAAACTTGCCGATCGTAGTCAGTAAGGTGTCATGCAGTGATGCTTATTGGTTAGGTGACTGCCAGGTGGACTTCTCAACGGACGGCCTGTGTGATGGTGGGGCTTATACAAATGGCGTCAAGTGCTGTAAGTTTCCCCAGTTTCTTCCTGATTTTTTTATCAGCGCCATCTATACTCGGAGTTTGGCCAGCTTGATTTTAGTTCATCACAACATGGCATACACAAAAGTGTTAACATAGACGGGAAAATCTGTAGTAAAATACTTTTGAACTCTTGTAGGTTGCCGGAGCTAAAGCAATGAAAGTCGCTGAAATGATATCCAATAGCATTTGGAAGCGCATAGAGACTTTTAATAGATCATAATGTGATATGCGCTACGATTATTATTCTTTTGTATTCCAAGTTTAAGTTTTAACACAAGTTCAAATTTGGGTTGTTAGCACAAATAAAAGGTACCGAAAATATAGGAAAGGAATCAAGTAATAATGTATTGTTTACAAAGTAAAAAAATAAACAAATTTATCATAAATATTAACATTCTAACCAAAACAAATAATTCAAAAATTATTGAGTAGTCATATGCGTGTCTACATGTGTGCAATGTTATAAATTGAATCAGATAATCGTCATTCTATACTGATATTTGGACGAAATAACTCAGATTGGTATGTCACAATATCTTAGTCATTGTCCTAAATTATTTTTGTAATGACTTTTGGTTGTACTGTATGTATACTCATGTCCGTTCATTTCTTCCTAACGAAGACAAACTGATGGAAACAAAGAAAACAACTCTTAGCATGACAGAAATGCCCGACATTGCTCACTCTCCGAAGTTCACCCACCTCAGACATAATATTTACATTTACATTTTTGTTTGATATATGCGAATTCAATTATTTAATTAGGCATTATCATGTATAGAAATGACTGAATACATAAAATAAAACACAATTAAGTCAATATAATTATAACGAAACAAAATCGAATGAATTTAGCTAAACTTTAATATTATTTATAATGATGGTTATAACAATACTACTACTAATAATAATAACGTCAATAATAATAGTAATACTTGGTACTTGTACTTGGTTGGGTAATTCCTTTGGCAGCTCACTCAGGAAGCTATACTGGGATGGTAGGTGAGGCGAGTATCTACAAGAAGTGTCATGAATTGCTGGAATGGTGTTTGGACCGCAAGCATTTGTTCATAAAGCATAATGAATAATAAGATCATTCTAAATCCATTCGTCTATTTCCTTCTTTCCAGACACAACGCCGAGACCGTCCGTCATCGGGTCACTAGCCTACGCCGCTTTAGGAACCATTTTCATTGTCTTAGCTGGTGCTTTTGCTATCCACTGGATCAGGAAATGGACGAATTCCCATCTTCCCCATTCCAATCTCACAGAAATTGTCGAAGATACACCCTCAAGCAAGAAGTTGTCTCAAACTTGACCTACAAAATATGTGACCGTTCACCTTTCGATGCGCCTTAACTCTCGATCAAATTTATGATCAACATGGTCATTTTGAAGACTAAAACAAGCAAACCTGTCTGGTTCCCTGTTTTACTATAGTAGCGACAAAGCAACAGTATGAAGACCCTTAGTACTGATCTTTGTAAAATACAAAATGGTAGGCAGTTTCCATGTGCAGTATTTCATAATTCGCTTACATCGGACTTGTTGGAAATAGGTCTACCATCTTATGGGCGTACATGTCTTGTACACAACAAACTGGATGTCCCAGCAAGAAATTATCCCCAATCCCTTGAGACAAAGCCTTCGGCTGAGGGAAATATACGATGATGTAATGTAGCGTTTAGAGGAGGGTCCATTTTGTTGCATAAGCCCCGTGTGTCGTAAGTGAAGATCACTCAAGTTAATATATACTTGTTTGTATTCGTTTAATACACGAATGATGTCGACCCCCATTCAATGAGAACCCACGATTGTGTGTCTTTAAAGACACGTTCAATTCTCATCTTGCCTTCTCGAAAAGACTATTGCATTAGAATTTAGAATTTTAGAAATGTATTGACTCGTTGACCCCCTCTCGGGGTATGAGAGCACAAACAAACATAAAAGTATAAATATCAATGAATGACTTATGAATACAAATTCTTATACATTTTTCCTTGGACAATGACACAAAGATACAAACGATAATAGGTGTATAGTGTATGAAAGTAGAAACATGAACCAAAAATACATAAAATAAAAGACATGGCGGTTCATTATTGTACATTTATTTGCATCTCGTCACACCGGAAGGACATTTCTCAAAGTGTGCGTGATGGGGTCCCATTTATATGAAACCGAGACTGAGACTACTCACCAAAGAGGAGACCCTTGTTTTATCTTAAGTGTCAATCCATCATAGAACGATGTCACTTATTGTAAACAAATTAAAGTTTACATCATTGTCGTGGAATGAGAAGACGAATTATAAGTATGTTTAAAAGGATTTGATTTTGATTTGATTCATTGGTTTCTGCATCTTTTTCCTTCTTTTCATTATACATTTTCATGAACATAATATAATTTATACAATATTTTAGGTGTATATAATTTTATACAGATGATAAACGAAATTAAACAAATATATTGAAAGCATAATTAACATACATTAAATGCAGGAGGGCTACAGAAATAAGCAAAGTAGCTTGACGTGCCCGCAGCCCCAACTTAGATACAACAATAAAAGGATAGTACTTACTACTTTCAACCTACTTTAGAGTAGAGGAGTATGCCAAGCTAAATGCCCAGTAACATGAAATTCAGTATTTCGTATGAAGTGTTTGCGATTTGATGAAAACCCTATATATCAAATGAAAGAAGGTGTTAATTTTATTATTAAATAAACTCTGCATAACAAACTAATTTGACGAAATTTCTGCTCACAAAATTTTTGACTTTTCGTCGATTATCACTTGATATACAGGTTTTTCGTCAAAAATAATTTGATATGCAGAGTTTTACTTGAACAACTTATTTTTGTCGGTGATAAACTGAGTTTGTTTGAATTAATGAATCTATCATGAACCATTTATTTCCTAACTTGGAGTACAGTAGTGAATGTCATACAAAGTCGAAGGTACGGAACTGATTCCCCGAAGTGATTGATTAATAACAATTGATATCAGCTTGGCTACTAAAGCCACGCAGTTTATTTTTATATGAGCAAATTTGTTATTTAACTTTTATTTAACTTAAGTTAAATAACAAATTTGCTCGTATCATGATGCAAGAAGAAGTGGAAAAAGAAGGAGAAGAAACCATTTTGTGACAGACTTCCTGATTACTTTTTTTTCTGCCTTATGTATTTTTACCTGCTCCTTTCGTTTTGAATACTAGCAGTTTTGTTCATCTGACAATATATATATTCCTTGACCCTTTCTTATAAAGAGTTGGTATTAATTACAACTTATTTGCGATTGATATCGATCGCAAATATGTATATATGAGATAGGGGACTGCCAACTTGCGATCGATTTTGATCAATCGCAACTATTTTTTTAAGACAGGGCCCTAAAATGTTTGTAAAATCTTTGACAGAAGTAGCATTTCTGTTTGAAAAGTTCTATGTATACGTAATGTATTATTTTTTTTCTTCACATTCTGTTTACTATACATGTACATTTAACAGTAAATAATTTTTCTAGATATTGTTATGTTGATAAAAAAAAAGGAATTTTATAATGATTAAAAGTATATGCTTTGCATTATCAAGATATTGCTGTTCGTATTCGTTTAAGCAGTTTGTCAATGGAGCTGGATATTAATTTTGGGAAATGGTAGATAAAAGGAGAGGAATAATCAGAAGAGAGAAATAGAAAGAGAGAGAGAGAGAGAGAGAGAGATAGAAAGAGAGAGAGAGAGATAGAGAAATAGAAAGAGAGAGAGAGAGAGAGAGATAGACAGGAGGAGGGGGAAAAACAAGAAAAAGGAGTAGAATATAAAGAGGAGCAGAGGATAATGAAAAAGGAGTAGAATTATAAGAAGATGGAGAAGAAGGAGAATATCATGGAAACCTCATCAGCATCAATGATTTTCTTTCCGAAAGCCCTGCATTTATTATTACCCCAGCAATCACCAGTTTTCCATTTTCACCAGGTCGGAGGGTGGCAAGTATGGATTAATGCCTTGCCGAAAGACATTAGCGCCGGACGTGGATTCGAACCATCAACCCTTACATTCAATTTTAAGTGAATGAGCCATTATATCTCGACACCTCCATAATAGAAGTAAAACGGAGGAAGAAGATGTTAATGGGAACGAATATGACATTTGTTATTCTGCTAATGTCAAACAAACTTTGATACAGACTATCTTCAGAATATCTCCTGGCTGTCCGCTTTCACCTCCCGACATTGATCTCTCAACAGTTGGGTATCCTTATGCCAGCAACATGGCGCTATCTCTGACAACGCAAGGGGCTAGGACTATACGAAGCATGTCACAAACACGAAAACAACGCAGAAAAATATTCACTGTACTGATCAGAAATATAAGAAACAAATTTCTACCCGTTCTGATGGATTGGTTGTATTGGTGTATGGCGTACTCTCGTCTATCACTTTTGTGTTAATGGTTTTTAACACTGAGGCTTACCTGCATAGGAGACAAAAGTTAAAAAAAGACAGAATGCGATGTCTCTCAAACCAATTTCTCATGGTGAAAAGTATGAAGGGTCCAGGTAGTACAGGTGTATCGAGGGCAAAGTCAGAAATCCCCATAAGAGATATTTCTGTACCGTGAGAGCATCGAACGCCGTCTTTGCCTCTAAGAGGTTGCATCGGTTCTCGAGAAAGGGAAGTTATAACAGGGCAACTTACATGTTATCATGATGAGAATGAACCTAGACCCACTAATACCCCAGAGAGAGTGCGAATGGGTTCTCAAGGAAATAATTCAACAGAGTGTACCCTCCATGATGCAGATGGCAGTCGTGTACAACTCCAAATTAGATATGCTACCACCCCCACCCGATCTAAGTTGAAGGTAAATCAGGAGACAGTATACGCAGATCGTATTTATAACACAGCAGTATACAAAACTGGACATTCTTCATGATATATATGATATATATATATATATATATATATATATATATATATAAATGTATATCAAAAACTGTTGTAACAAACTGTCATTATAGCAAGGTAATTTTGCGGGTCCCAATCGCGATATATTTTAAAAGCATTCGTTATAGCACTAATAAACAAAGCTCGAAATATCAATTAACAATTTCTCTGGTCACGCTAAAGGTTCAACCGTACTAAAGTCACTTAAAATAGCGATAAAAATGTGATTCAAAATGGAATTTAAATTCACTTCAGCGATTTAATTTCGTAATACTATTTTTCATTTCAACATAATACTTTCCGAGATTTCCAAGGAAAAATATGCAAGAAAGAAAATACGTAATTATTGGTAATCTTACGAAAAATGACCGACATCAGGAATAGTAGTTCAAATAAAGAAAAGTCAAATTACCGTGACATCAGATTCCTTACGAGATGTTCCATAGTCTTTAATGGCTTTGATGGTTATCTAATTAACTAGATTGCAATTGTGTAAGTCATGTGATTTATGTAAAAGAGGGTTGTAATTATCTAAGAACGTTTTGTGGAACTATAAGATACAAATCCATATAAATGAACGGTTTCACTAATATACACAATAAAACACGTCTGCATGGTAATTAGCAACAAGGTAGGGTTCATGAAAGTCCTCTCATGGTCAATTTTATAATGCTGTTGAATCTCGAAAACCATGAAATGTTCTTTGCGAAAAATTCAACCACTACAAACAATTTTAATGACAAATTAGGAATATTTTTTTTGAAATTCCCAGGGAGGGGAATAAAGATTCCAGAAATTGCACTCCCTAAAACAAAACAAAAGGAAACAAGTCTGTGTAAAACGTAGGTTGCCTTTTAAGCAACCTACAGTTCTTACTACGTTCTTACCTATTTAATGTCATCGGTTATTAAAAAAATGCGCGTAGATAAGATTATGACGGGAGAAGTTGAACAAATTTATTTTCATTTTTAGAACATACCGTTAGAGAGCATTCGGATGAGCCTCTTTCACCCCACTCGCCGCCCCCCTTGAAGAAAAAATATAGGAAAAAAAAGAAATAAATTAAAACAAACAAGTACTCGTATGACTATCAAAACTACCATCCCGTGAAAAAAGGGACAGAACAAAGACAAAACAATAGAGTACTCGTATGGCTATGAAAACCTGCTGTTATGTAAATAAATGATCACTTGTTATGGATGCTTAACTGCCATCTACCGGCATGGGGTTTATCATGTGACATTATGTTGCCTAATAAGCAACATACGCACCATACCTGAATGTAATGGCACGTAGACAGTGTTAAGGAATGGAAACTTAAACTTGATAAATGTTAGTTTGAAGCAAAAGTGCTCTTACTCTATAGTAGTTTGTTTTCCAACGATTTCCATCCATTAAACAAAATGATTAATCCTACTTTTTGACAAAGTGTTGTACAGGACTTCGGTATATCTACGACATAACTGCTATTTTCTGGACGAGCACCGCAAAGTACAATCTTGTTATGTATGTTATCTACTCTAATCGGATAGGCCTAGGCACAAAGATGGCTACCAGTAATTTTTGTAAGCTCCTTGCTGTCCTGGTGTTGGTATTCTCCGACAGCTCTGAAGCATCTACACGTAAGCAGGGTTTTCCAGAAAACATGGATATCGCGACGACTGCTGAATGCGACATGCATTGTCTCCTCGAAGAAGAGCTCATACCAAATGCAAGCTTAACTTTGACCAAAGATGGAAGAGAGCTTGGAGTATGTTCTTTAA